CCCAAAGCTCGGTTAGCCTGCACATCTGTCCTCCTCTCATGGGAACACACGCAACAATATGCTTCGACTTAGACACTTGTGTGTTTTTGAGGAGGATGAGGCTCCTGTTTAATTACTGCTGGAATCTGTCCTTAGTCTTTTTTCAGGAGTTATTAACAAATTAGCACATCTGCGCCATGACATTCATAATGATAAATAACTTGTATATAATCTTTGATGTTCATCCTCTACATTGTGCAGTTCACTTTCATGTGCAGAAGGACACCGTGAGAGGAAATTAGAGCATTCTTTATCATAAATTAATAATTTACTAGAGGGCTGTTTTTCAGTAACAAGATCTCATGAGCACACACACTACAAACCTGGCTACAATGCAGTACAAAAATACTTCCCTGTATTTTGTTCCAGCCATCAGCAGACCTCCAGACACCCATTCTTTCACACACTCTTGCAGACACACACGTACCAAAACCCACTTTGGAAGACAAAGAAATTAAAGAAAGCGAGACAGGAGAGAGGTCCAGGAGGCTAATGTAACAACAGCCGCAATAAGCAGTAAATTGGATCTCTTATTCTCTGCTCCCTGGAAGACTCTCAGGCTGGTTGTGGTTTTGTGTTTCCATCACCCTCAGGCTTCATGTTCAGGCGACTGCTGGATGCCCACACGGCACCAGAAAGTCCAGATGGCAGACCACCAAGTGCACACCTTTGGGAATCTGGGCTTGACTTAAGTTAACTAAAGTAATTACATTAACTCAAGTTAGGGCAGTTTTCAGATACCTTACTTCATTGAATGTGCTTTATATGTGTACTACACTACATTTCACAGGAAATCATAGCACTTTTGAATCTTTTCAGTGTGTTTTGATTTGATTTGACTAATTCATTTAAAAGTAAACAGCTCCGACACGGTAAGTGAAAGTTGGGATAACACAATACAGCCCAAGACTCTACTATCCTGCAATACAAGAACAATGGGGCTCCTTATTTTCATGTCTTCCACATGCATCATTAACATTTTAGCCTGCTTGAGTCATTTTTTGTGTAGTCATCAATTGCATATGTATGACACCTCGTACATCGTTCAGTATTAAAGGGGCCCTATTGTGCTTTTTTTTGTTTTCTGTAGTGTATAGGTTTGTAATGTCACAGGAGAGGTACTAAATACAAATATGAACCTGAAATTAAGCATGATGGGGCCTCTGAAGGATACATTAAAAAGTGAATTCAAGATCAATTTGGAGCTAACTCATGGAATAACATTTATTTTGCTAGCTAGCCACAGCTGACAAACGCGTTAAGATGGCAACACTCAGAGACCGTTTGTCCACAAAGGAGAAGCTTGCTTTGATTTCTTCTTGCATCAAAAGACCAATGTCTTGTTTAATCCTCAATATGGCTCGTCTGCCTCTGTTATCTTTGTGAACTTCATTTGTTTTACTCTAGAGTGGAAAACTTGACATATTTAGCAACATTCATTATTATTATTGATACTTACTGACTGAAGGATCAGGTTGACAAAGAGAGCATTAACTAGATAGTGTGTTTATACAATAATACAGTATCCATCCTCCTGCTCTTCCACCCCCTGACCTTCTTGTCTGTGTGAATGTAGCGCCATCCCATGTAATTAAGTTGCCGCAAGTGAAGGCCTTAATGGCAGGTTGCCACGGTAACCATGTAGTACGTTGCCGTTGGGGCTTGCGGTGAAGTGTTTCTAAACTGCTTCACAGTTGTTGGACATGCTGACACGTGCACTCAACACACTCGTATGCATACCAAACGACAGGGTGCATACACAGAGGTCACTTCCTGCGCTTTATTACACAAAGCCTTGTTTTCTGTCTGCTTCATATCTTCTGAGTGCACACTTGTTCCCTCCAAACGTGGCAAGACACATTCCCAGTAGGCTGTTGCATTACCTTTGTCACACTTGCTTTGTTTCCTTCTCACCCTACTTTCATTGTGTCGTCTGTCTCTCATAAACACACATATGCAATGGAGAATCGTACACATGTTTTAGTGTAAATATTGAAATACACACAATCAAACCCTGCGAGCTAGCTGTGGTTTGCCTCTGCCTGCTCAAGGTCACAGGGACAAAACGAACCATGGCTGTTGTTAGACAGAACAGATAAGGTAGAGAAAAAGGGTGAAAAGATGGCAAAAGCAAGCTGTGGCCTCTGGACCCAGCGTTAACCAGCAGGAAGGTGCAGGAGAGAGGAGAAGGGAGGTCAATGTGGGTTTACACAGCAGGGAACTACATCATGTTGGCCTCTCCCTGTAACCTCCTCGCCATAATTCAAATCTCTACCCTGCTCAGAGTAAATCATGTCTTTAAGTAACAATCCGTGTCATGATAAGGTGAAGATGCACAGCAGGTGAATCATGTAGGAGGGTTGTACTGGCACCTTTTAAAGAGAACAGCCGCAAGTGCATTGCATCTTATAAAACAGAGATTAACTGGAGCGACTTCTGGGAGAATTCTGGGAATAAAACCTGAAAGAAAAACTAAAGTTTAAAAGTTCTGCTAATGACAGATTACATTAGGTAATTAGTATTTGCAGATAACTTAGCGTTGTTTAAACCTACAGAAGATCTGACACACACAAACGTTGTCCAAGGGCTGTTGCATGTTAAATCCACACATTGATATTCACTGCCATCAGATGCCTGTCTGTTTTGTGGAAACACACACACACACACACACACACACACCGTCCAAGCACCCAGCTGGTGTGGAAATATGGGCTAAGATAGCTTCTCCGTCTCCATCGACAGGTGACGGAACGTCAATGTGAGGGCGTGCAGCTGTCGCTTGTACGCGCCGCGTGTGTCTGCCAGCCTGCCTGCCTGTGTGTGTATGTTTGTCTAAATGTGTGTTTTTCGCCACAATAACTGTGTTATGTGCTGCACAGCACGTTATGCATGTAGGTGTAAAGAGGGTGGGATTTTAGAACAGGCTGTCTTGTCCCCTGCACTTCATTAGAGCTCTGCTAAAGAATCCCGCCAGCAACATCAGCAATCACCATCACCACCAAGTGTGTGTGGTGTGTTGTGTGTCTGTGTGAGGTGTTTAGCTTGGTGCTTGGCTTCCAGCTTTGCCCTGTCAGCTCGGCCCATATTCACAGGCGCACAGAAGGCACACGCAGAAGGCAGCATCAGCAATCACTCTGAACAAGCTACACCACATCCATGGCATCATCAATACAGCAGAGTGTGTGTGCATGGGGGTGTGTGTGTGTTTTGTAACCTTTATCTTGTATAGACTATGGCTAAATGAGAAACCCCGAACCTGAACAACCCATAGGGCTCATCACTTAAATTCTTTGTGTCATTTTCAAACAAAAATCCATGGTGTCAAAAACTAAAAATGGATATAAAATAATCATGACATTCTTACCCTAAGGCAACAAAAGCATGTCATTCATCTTCTTCTCCACTTTTTTCTACCATCTCTTTATAGTAAAATGCATTTTCTGAACCTTTTGTTGAAAAAAGATCGTTAACCTTAACAATTAGACTTACCACAACAACCTTCCAATTCCTGGTTCGGCACTTTAGCTGGCACTTCAGTTGTTAGGTGGCATTTATTTGCTCTGTGTGTCTGTATAAGTGAGATAGAGACAAATAATCCACACAGGGAGCCATTGCTGTGTCTAAACTTGGTGAAAGCAAGACGGAGAGGGAGAAAGCGAGAAGAAATAAAGATGGGAAAGGAGAACTAAAGAAATTGAGAAAAACCATGAGATTGAGGCATTCAAGTACTTTATTAAGACATACGTACATGGCACCATTGCTTGAAATGGCAAAACCCATAGAAAACAGGCAAACATACAGACTGAGGCACATATTTCACAGTCTTTCTATTTCTTTGAACACACACACACACACACACACACACACACACACACACACACACACACACACACACACACACACACACACACACACACACACAGAGCCAGCTGTGTGGTGGTAGCAGGTGTCACTCTCAGCTCATTACCCCTGGCAGGGTTGATCACCCTGTTTGGAGAGCAATAAGACACACCTCACTGGAGAGATAGAGGGATGGAGGGGGAGAAAGAGGAGAGGGAGGGAGGGAACATCCACCTCCTGCTTTAAGAGATAGAGGGATTGAGAAAGGCAGCGAGTGAGGAAGAGGAGGTGTATAAAGTAGCGTATGGTTGGTGAGATTGAAGGGGGCGGGTATGATGTTTATGTATGGAAAGGCTGTTAAGTGAAAATGTAACAAGCAAAAAGGGGGAGATTTGTGAAATCCACGAACATCTGGATCATATTTTTTTGCCGTCATTTCTATTTGTAACAATAACATTGCTCACAAATGTAATTGGTGTGACTTGGGCATACGGCCACATCATTAAGAAGAAGTTAGACATTGCTTGACAATGAGGTTTATAGAACCCATTTATAACCTAACACCAGTTGTAGTACGCTGCAGTCAGGGGGTTATGACACATGTTTAGTAAAACTGTTATCAGCTTTGACCTTCTAAATAAAGGGGTTTAGATAACCTGACAGATTGTCTGACAGGACGTGTAACTGCTTATCGTACAACCCATGTTTCCTTGTAATAGACCAGACTTGTCCTTTGAGTCAATTACAACAGAAACAGTAGAGTTTCACAGCAACCAAAGCTTATACCACAGGAATGGCTGGTTTTCAAATGAAAATGTTCAACAGGATTTGAATGTTTTCCTGATTTGTCTACTTAAGTCATAAAAAAGCTGATAATGTTGCTGTAAAAGTGTGTTTCCATGATTGATGTCTGACATAACCCACAAGCGGTGTTTAACTTGAAAATGTTTTTTGAACTATGAGAAACTATCTAATTGTATAGCTCATTACAAGAGGTAGCAGTGATGCATGTATTCCTGTAATTACACACATTTTTTGAGCATGTTGCCATAAATAACATGTTCTTGCTCATGTCAGTAACCTCATCGTGTGTGTGTGTGTGTGTGTGTGTGTCTCTGCAGGTACGACTACAAGGAGATGCTCCACAACTCCACCTTCTGCTTGGTGCCCCGTGGCAGACGCCTAGGCTCATTCCGCTTCCTCGAGGCGCTGCAGGTAGTTTGCAGTAACACACACACACACACACATACATGAACATTACACACAACATCCCATTACGGGAAGGCACTGCTGTACTCTGTAAATGCATGCCTACCAGTAATATCACCAGGTCTAAATAGGATCCTTTACCAACTAGCATTTGTTGTTTTAATGTTGCTGCTTCTTCCAGTAATAAAGGATCTCTAAATCATTACCAACTTTTATGTGAAACTAATAGTGTAATAAATATAAACAAACACGCTTCACTGAGGAGATTTGCTGCAATTTCCTTCCTCTAACTAAAAGGTACATTTTAAACGGGATTGAATTTGCAGATAATCTTTCAACCTGTTGCCTGAAAATGATAGGGTAGGAAAAATATAAACTTTGAAAACATATTTAGTTACCATGAGTCTACCGAAAAAACATGTTGTATGTATTCATCCACATAAAATGCTCAAATAATTAGACCTTATATAAAATGGTTAGTGCTCTTGATTAGTTTGAATACAATCAAGAACCTGTTGTCCTCTGAAAAACTGCTCTTCAGAGTATTAACAGTTAGAATGAAGGGTCACACCAGGCTATATCAAATATCTGTTAAATAAAACTTTGTGAATTATCCTGTATTATCCCGTACATCATTGTCCCATTAGCCACCAAGCTAACAAGCTTGTACACTAGTTTGTAAAGCTTTTCTGAACTCTTAACTAATACTTTATTTAATACAAATAATGTCATCTCTGGTAAGAAAATGGCCATGTGGAGGAAGAATAGAAAGAAACTCAGGGAGCTATTTTGACTGATTAGCCATGTTCGCAGCTGGCTAGCGTGTTAGCAGTGAGAGCTAGCCAAAATGATTAAAATGTTCCCACATACTGTACATGCCAACTATTTTGGCTCTGTTTTTTAGGTATAGTTCAAGTGAACCAAAAATAAATGGTGCAGTGATTTCATAATATTAAAATGCTTTACAAAGAAAAACCCATCAGGTTGTTGTGCCTGTTGAAGTTAATTGTACATTAAGTGGAAATTGCTACACATAATGTATCGCTATACCTTGTCAGACTGTATGACTTTACCTGTCATACTAACCAGGGAGGTAAATTCTTCCCATCAAGAGTCCTTTGTCATTAATGCATTTACCTCCACTTCACTCAAACCCCTTGAAATCTACACACTTCACAAACCTCTCTTTTTCTCTCTCCATTTTTATAACTGCACTGCACTCTTCCGCATTACCACTGCACTGTCCTTTACCTCTCCTTACCGTCCACAGAGTGCAGCCACATAAGTGTGCTTATCTCACTATCAGCTGCCACACACACATACTCACACACACACACACACACACACTAGCACACTTCACTCAGGAGAGAAATATGCCCTCCTTTCTACATTTGTATGACTCTCTCCATCCATCGACTCCCAGGAAGATGGAAGGAGAGTATTTACAGGCTTTAGTCTTTGCATGAGAAAGCAACTGCTAATAGAGGTCAACTGTGTGTGTGTGTGTGTGTGTGTGTGTGTGTGTGTGTGTGTGTGTGTGTGTGTGTGTGTGTGTGTGTGTGTGTGTGTGTGTGTGTGTGTGTGTGTGTGTGTGTGTGTGTGTGTGTGTGTGTGTGTGTGTGTGTGTGTGTGTGTGTGTGTGTGTGTGTGTGTGTGTGGTGTGTGTGGTGTGTGTGTGTGTGTGTGTGTGTGTGTGTGTGTGTGTGTGTGTGTGTGTGTGTGTGTGTGTGTGTGTGTGTGTGTGTGTGTGTGTGTGTGTGTGCCTGGATGTTGTTTGTGTGTCTGTATATATATATCTGTATGCATGGGATTGTGTGTGAGTTTTGTGAGTGTGTGGACGTGACAGCAGCGGAGCCGGCGGGCCAGCTTTGGTTTAGCTGACACCTTTATGACCTGGGAGTGACAGGGCCGTCATTACGTCAAACTCCCACCACCAACACACACATACACACACTCACACACAAACGCACACACCAGCTGTTCCCTCCACCTCTCCTCTCATCCCTCCATCCTTCTGCCACTCCTTTGCCAAAGGTCACATTCAGCTTCACTGCCTCCTCTCTTTTCATCTGTTCTTTAAAACATCTATTTATCCACTTTCTTCTGCCTTTTGATCTTCTTCATTTCCTCTTTCTCCTCTCCAAGTCATTACTCATGCTCTCCTCCTTTGAGTTATCACATTTCCAGAAAGGGAAGTTACCATTTTAATGTGTGTCTGTAAGATGTATCAACAGGTGAAACTATCTAAAAAAAAAAGAAAATGGCCATACACTGACTAAGACTGAATATGGTTTGTTTCTTTTAATTTCAGACACATAAGTGATTCAAAATCAAAGAGAATCTAAAACACAGTTTTAAAAAAGCTTGTTGTGCCTGTTTGAGTTCTTGTTGTTACAGTAGGCTGGTTTGTATGAATCCAAATGGCTTTGTGAGCTGCTCTCCAACAAATGGCTGCTGTTTTTTTTCATATCCATATCAGTCATTGCTATATTGAATTCCTCACTATCTGTGACCATATGGCGGCTGCCTGCTTGCTTATCTAGATTGTATGTTCAAGCTTATTTCTGTTTATCTGATTGCTTATCTGCATTGTGATAAGCTTGTATTTGATCTCAAATGTATAAGAACCCAGAAACCATGTATTCATGTTTAAGTTACATGTGAACTCATATCTGTGCCCTAAGGCTTCTTTTTTAATCAAAGCTGCACTTATTCTTCTTTTATGATCAATGGGTCAAAATACTTTGTCTAATGCAAACAGGGTTCCCTGAAAAGTGATGAACCCACATAGCATTATCAAAAGTCACTGCATTTCCCTTCAGCTCTACTGAGTGTTTTAGCCCCTTTAGGCTAGTTATATGATGTTCTTAAACCTGCAGCTTTATTGTTTGTGTCTACTCCCACCTACCTTATCATTAGTTTACAGCGGGAAGCAGCAAAGTTAGCGATTAGCTTGTGAACAGAGCTGGGCATTTAAGAGTTAAAGAGCCAGATACAGTATGTCCCAAATAATTATTGCCCATTATTAAAAAAAATGGCTGGACGGAGAATAGATATGGGACTTGCATTTGTCACCAACTCATTCACAATATCAACTTTAAGGGGTGATGATGTGTAATATATATTTGTTTTATATAATTAGGGCTAACACTTATAATTGAATCTCTAGTATGACAATTTTGAGGCAGCTGCTTTCCTCTCAGTTGTTTAGTTAAGCACATTGATGTGATTTCTACTCTGAAACAGCCTCTAGTCTGCAGCTCATAACATTGACATCAATAAAGACAGTAATGGGCCTTCTGCTGCGTGTATCATTGTTCCTACTTCCCATCTCGCCTGCTCCGAGCCTCAATAGTGATTTCATGTGTGATATATACACATGACACCAAAGAAACTCGAAAATCAAATCCAATTTTTGCCAAATGGGGAATTAATGCATGAACACAAAGGGTCACAGACAAACACAAGCGGATCAATTATAACACAGTGCAGCCTTTATATGAAAAGAGCCACATATTGCAGCTTTAATAATCCCGATCAATATGTAGCAAAGCAGTCATCATTTAAGCCGTAGCTCTGATTGTGTTTGTAAAGGATCATGTCCAAGCTTCTCTCTCTTTCTCTGTGTGTGTCAGGCTGCGTGTGTGCCGGTGATGCTGAGTAACGGTTGGGAGCTGCCTTTCTCCGAGATCATCGACTGGAACACAGCCGCAGTGATCGGGGACGAGAGGCTGCTGCTGCAGGTAACGGCCCGGAGCACACACTCCCACATGCTCCGGAAAACTCAAACCTGAAACCTTTAGCAGACAGAGAAACAGCAGCAAGCCCCACACCGGAAAACAAAATACTTTTCTTACTGTCGATATCCTGAGCACACGCTATTCACTTAAATTCCCCAGGATCCAGTTTATTTTTGTTTTCTTGTGGAGTGATTGACGACAAAACAAAATGCAAGCTGCATGCCAAGTCTTTGACTGATTAGAAATGTCACTCAAAACCCCACATTGTTATTATGAGAGGGCAAATAAATAAGAGAGAATGGATTTAGCTAGAACCGCTTGAACTTCATGGGGAGAAAAGTAATTATATGCTCATTAAATATTAATTTGAATGAAGTGTGTAATAATATAGCTTGACATTGAGCTTTATAACGTTGTGCAGTGATGTGCCTGACTCATCCTGGTACTAGTTATCTATTTTACGGATGGGTTTTACAAAAATACGATGGGCTGAGATGCAAACAACATACAGTACATATATAAATGTATGTTTTTCACTTTTCATGTTGGATACATCTGCTGTAGTATTTATTGTCTGTTCAAAACTGATCTTTTTTAAAAAGCACATCGTAACAATTTCATGATTTATTTATATTTTTTAAATGTGACCTTTTTTTTTACCAACGTACACTCTGTATCTTGCAAGATACATTGCCCATTTAGGGGTAATAAAATGTTAAATAACCCAAATTACACCCATGCTACCTCCCTATTACACACATATTCCAACCGTCTTCCACCCATATTGCACTGTTATTGAACCCATATTTCACTGTTAGTACACCTTTCTATCTGATTATCTACAGAGTATAGGCTTCCAAACACAAGTATATATGTAAGTGATTATCCATGTTTTATAAACTATCTGGGCAATGTACCCTCCTGGATACAGAAACCATTTAAGGGTTAAATACTGCACATAAAGTGTATTCACTTATTCAATTAAAATGTTCCCAGTAAGCAGGATATAGCAGTATTTACTAAAGTGCATATACAAAGTGTTTATATGCCATTATCCTCCCTTCAGTATGACAAATGAAGTCACAGAAGGACTTAACTTCACAGCTCTTTGAATACACATACAAAAGCATTCACCAAAGGCTGCTGCAGCATTTGAGCTTTTCTTCACAAATACTGTTTGATGACTGATAGTTGCTGTAGCTGTTGGTTTTTTGTAAAGCCCCTGTGTTGTGTGCTTTATTCCCTTTAGTTTGTGTCTGTGAATGCTTTTATTCTGGGATTCTACATTTAAAAGTAGAATGTGTTGGATCCTATACTAAAGAATTTAAAAAGGCCTGGCAGACAAGACTGCTACAGTGCCAGAGCTGTAAACATTCACGAAAAGGTTAAAAGAAATTGAATTTGGCAGAGAGATCCAAATATCCTCTCTGAATATAAGGCTTAAGCCAGCTGGCATGGCTCTGTTGAAAGGTAACAGAAATGTAACATGTTTAATATTTAGAAAAAACTGTGTGAAAACAAAAATAGATATATGGGTAGTCGATATTGCCTCTAAGAATTTATGTTTTCCTTTTTGTTTTCAGTATATTTTCTATGCTAAGCACTAATGGAAGTACATTCTAATTCACCATAGAGTTACAAGTAGGATCAATACACTGATACTTGTACTGTATCAGTGTATTGATCCTCTAACTGCAAGAAAACAAATAATTATACTTCTCCAAATAAGAAACCTTCTCTTCACAAAAAGTCACAAATATTAGGACTTTGTAAATCTGGATTTACATGACTTGAGATTTGAAACAGGTTTTGCTTCAAAGTTCATTTCTTAACCTTGTAAACTGAAGTTTGTAGAAATACAAAAAATAGACACGCCTAACGTTTTCCATCACCCGTTGTGGTATCCTCAATACACAGAGTTGCTGTGTCAGCACTTTAGAACTGACTTGCAGTTTATTGACTGATATTCGATGTTCCCTTAACGGCTTCAGACTTGTGTTTAGAAGTGCTTTGAGAACACCTGAGATTTGGAACTGAACTTAATTGCTTGAAAATAGTTGTAATCTTAATGTGCTTTATCTGTTGACGGGGACTTCCTGAGTGCATCTTTGGGACCCGTTTTAATCTTCCTGTCCCCACAGTTGAGGTCCCACAACAATGCTGACTGACTGCTGTCTTTTTGTTGCAGATCCCAACCACGGTGCGCTCCATCCACCAGGATAAGATCCTCTCCCTCCGCCAGCAGACTCAGTTCCTCTGGGAGGCCTACTTCTCCTCCGTGGAGAAGATAGTGCAGACCACACTGGAGGTGAGGATTGAAGACACACGTGCTAACCACCCGCACTCTGGCCTCTCTGCTTCTTCTCTACTGCTCTCACATCATCAATCTTTCTCTCAGAGGGATGCGGTCCCTCAGCAGACTCTCTGCAGCATCACTTTGTTCTCAGGCATCTCTTTGGTCTTTTACCAAGGGGCTTAAAGCAAAATGGAAGGCTGGACAGTGCCATTTACGGAGGGCAAAAAGGACATTTCAGCACATGTTAAAGGTCCCATGTCATGGCCATTTCTACTGATCATAATTCCATTGTTGGGGTCTACTAGAAGAGATTTACATTGTTCAATGTTCCAAACTCACATTGGTTTCTCATACAGCATCTCTGTATAGCATGTGTATTCACTCTCTGTCCTAAACGGCTTGTTGGAGCTCCTGCCCCCCACTGTGCTCTGATTGGTCAGCTCGCCCACTCTGTTCTGATGAGTCCACTACCGTTACAGCGGAACATCAGTATTTATGTGTTACAATGGCGTTTGTTAGCAACCAGAAAATGACACCAGTAATGACAAACAGATGAGAATGCTGCGTGGGGTCTGGGTGCCGTGTTGGCGGGACATTGCGGGGCTCGCTGCCCCGCCCTTTGAGGCTCGAGGAGCGGACAGTGTGAGCTGGATTACTGGTGCCGTTTCCTGGTTGCTGCGTGGGGTCTGCGAGACAGCGAGACACCGCGGAATTCAGCCTGAGCACACTGTGCTGGGCTGTGAGTGTGTGTGTGTGTGTGTGTGTGTGCGGAGATCCGCGGAGCCGCGGCTGATTAAAGATAAGGCTGAGTGAGTGTGTGTGCGTTACGTCACTATGACCAGGAAGAAAAAAATGAGGCGTTCTGGGGCAGCATAGACAGGTCTTTTCTGTGTTAGAGTTTTACTCGCTACAGGGTGTACTTTGAGGGTTTGTGACTCTGCAGACCGTTTACATGCAGAAAAAGCTACATAACACACAAGGGGACGGGTAATAACCGGAAAAGCATGACATGGGCCCTTTAACAGCATTGGTCAAAGCTGCTTTCTGTTTTTTAGCGAAAGCTCGATGATGTTGCGGAGTGTTAAAAGACGGATTGATGTTTTTCCCACTATAAAAACTAGTCATCACTTGTTTCCATCCAATCCATGTCAACACAACTACAAAAAGGGTTTCATACACAAAATACAGACTTTGGGTTTGGTATCATTATAAGTTCTGGAATGTGCTTTTACGTTCTTCTGATCCCTTTATTCCATACAAATCCACTTCCTTATTAATTTATACACATTATTGACTGGAATTTACTCATTACTCAGTTTGAATTAATTGTTTATAGATACAGATAACACCTGAGCTAAGTGCTAGCTTTGATCTGTGGTTACAACCCAAGTATTCTATCACGCATTTAATCTCCTCTTTAAACATGTATCCAAAACTAAGGAACCCCCCCCAATACTGCAATCTTACTTTCATTAAAACTTCCCAAATCTTACATCTGAAATTGACTTTACCACACATACACACAAGCACCGGCAAGTAAAGTGTGGCTTCAGTATTTTTCAGAGTTTTTCAGTGTTTTTCAGATTTTTTGCTAGCTCTACATCTCTGTTTGTTTGTTATTTAGCCTCGTCTCAGTGTGCGCTATCATACACAAAGACACACACACACGAGCACTTAGAGGCAGAAACACATCTCCATATGTCAAAGTGTGTCAGCCCAGATTCACGTGGCACCACCCAGGCATAACCCTGCTGACATGTTGTCACTCGGCACTAAAGAGCAAGGTGACACGGCCGAAGCCTCTGAGTGTGTGTGTGTGTGTGTGTGTGTGTGTGTGTGTGTGTGTGTGTGTGTGTGTGTGTGTGTGTGTGTGTGTGTGTGTGTGTGTGTGGTGTGTGTGTGTGTGTGTGTGTGTGTGTGTGTGTGTGTGTGTGTGTGTGTGTGTGTGTGTGTGTGTGTGTGTGTGTGTGTGTGTGTGTGTGTGTGTGTGTGTGTGTGTGTGTGTGTGGAATACAGCGAGGGGCTGAACGCTTAATCCTGACTGACTGTCCTGTAAAAAAGGGGAGCGTGGTTGTGGAAAGGGTGAAAAGGAGAAAGGGTGACATATGTAAATGGCGTTGCCGTGGCAGCCCCCGAGATAACGAGCGACATGGTTTATTCATCCTGTCGAGCCTGCAACCCACCCTCAACCTCCTCCTCCTCCTCATCGTCCTCCTCACTGCAGATCCTTGACGATACAAACACATACACACACACTCCGATATCCTGACAGATTGAATCTGCTGGCACACATTCACAAACTCACTTGCCTTTTGTATTGACTTCACTTCCACTCCAAACTGTGTGTGTGTGTGTGCTGAGATTGCAAGGCAAGCAGGAAACATGAGTTCACCCTATCATGCAGTGTTTCCTGCCGGGGAGCAGTCGCGTTTCGACCAATCACAAGGTCAATATAGCCGGGTCTGTTCTGCGGGTGCACCTATTAAACTCACCTATTAAAGCGGGGCTCACACAGTGCTCCCAGAGAGGCAGGATTTATCTATCATGCTCTAATTGGTTGATTGTGGCTGTTCTGAGGTGAGATTGAGTCGTCCATCATGTCCCGACTGAGGGCTGCCGGCGAGGGGGGAGCTGCAGCCGAGCGAGCAGAATTGCCCCTCATAAGGTGCAGGGGCTCAAGGTTTTTAAGGTGGCAGGCGGTGTTTTTATAGAGAAGTTAAAGGATTGTGAGTTAATCTGTTCGACTGAGGCAAATGGTTATCGACTGCCCTCGGGGACAAATCTAGTGAAAGTAAAAAAAACTCACCCAGTGCTGAGGTTTTTTTCACATCCCTGCCTCACTGTGATGAATTTTTATGTTGCTTTGTCAATATTATTACAGTCAGCCCCCTCCAGCTACATTATTAACTTTTTTTTTTACAATTGGAAAAGCTATTAGCCTCCGCCCATCATGTTCTCTTCACCTCTTTCTATACGTCCGCCCTTTTTGAGTTTGCCAAGCCAGCAGCCGTCACCTCTCGATTCAATCACGGCCATAAAACAGGGCCGCAAACCTGTGTCTGTTTTACTGCTGCAATTCAGCATGGCTCAAGGGCACGGCAGCAATATCTCTTTCCCCTGCCTGCTCAGCAGAGGCTGGCGGCGGAGAGAAAATAGTGGCCGTTGTCACGTCCGACCGTGTGACTGACTGCTCTATTTGTGCACAGAAAGGATCGGGCAGGCTGACTGACTGGCGCTTAAACACAGCTGATGACTGGGTTTTGCCTCTTTTATTCTCCGATGGCCTCTGTCTGTGTGACTGACCGGCACATATTCCTTTGACTTGCTGATCTGCTTCTCCAAAAAAAGAGCTCAGTATGTTTGTCCGAGGATGAAATATTACACAATAACATGGATTTATTTTAGCTCAGCATTGTGCCCTGGCGATTCACTCTTGACACGATCAATAGTTGCTTTTCAGGTGATACAAAGCAAGCATTTGGGCAGCTCAGCCACTTTTCTTACTTTCATACAACGACCGCAGACTTACTTTTATAACCGCTTTCCACCTGCTTTAATTCACCAACCCGGGTATTAATAACACCCTGAATATCGTTCTGAATTTAAATGGGATTTTTTAGAAGTTGGAACATTATCCGTGTTGATATTCATTCACATTTACGACTTTCTGCTTCTTTGTGCTTTTGTGTGAAAAACTCATTTTGCAGTCGTGTGAAATGTTTTATCTGTTTTGATTACAAGGCTCATTGATGGAATCCTTAATATTTCACCGACTATAATCTGAAAGGCAGATTTGTTCAACACACAAAGTTGTATGAGGCCTCTGAGTGAAATGTCATTTAAAGGCAGTTTAGAAAGGGAAGCCTCGCATACAGCAGGGTGGAGAAAAACAGAGACACTGCTGTAATAAAAAAGACAAAAGTTTGATACAGACAGTCAAGGACAGGGAGACAAAACACTGAGCGCAAAGCAGCCAAGGTTACAGGTGCGTGTGCTCAGTCAGGACAGTTTAAACTGGGTCAAAGTTATGGGCCTTGGAAAATATTTCCCCAACATTTGTTAGGATGTTCTAATTGTAGTTGAAGTGTAATCTGTAAATTCATTTTCAATCTATATCATGTTATGTGCATTTACAGTTACTTGATATACTTTAAATATATATATTTTTTAATAAGACCACTAAATTAATGCTGTTTCCATAACTGATTTCCTCACAAGACAAGTGTATAATGTGGTTTACCACTCAGGGAGGGTCTCACACAAATCTTTGTTCCATTATCCAAAGTGTAAGTTACGTTTTTGTTGGAATAAAAGTCAGAAAATGCTGGCCTACTCTGCTTTGGTTTACCCGCTTAGTTTTTATCTGTCTCCTACAATTTTTAGAAAGGATATTGAAGGATAATCTTGAGTTAGTCAAGTTAATTTATGTAGTCTACAATTTACACATTTGTCACACCTATGCAAATTAAACAACAAACAGCAAGGAAAATCCTTGCATCAAAGATGGAGAAAACTCTCCTAATTATATAACTTGAGCAACAATAGAGATTGTTCTATGAGGACAGACAAGAGTCTTACTCAATTCACTCGTGTATTTCCCCCAAAAAGTGGTCAATCTATCTCTATCATTCTATTTGTAATGTAGAAAACACAAAAATTGACAGTCAACAAATTCAACTAGAGGGTAAAAATCCTAACATCTTTAATTGAAAAGTTGTTGGTCAATACAAAGTCTAATGTGTGTTGTTTCCCCGTGCAGATCATCCAGGACCGCGCGTTGGCGCACGGCTCCCGGAGCAGCCTGATGTGGAACAGTCACCCTGGGGGGCTTTTCGCCCTGCCGCAGTACTCTGGATACCTGGGAGACTTCCCCTTCTACTACGCTACACTGGGTCAGTAACACACACACACACACACACTCACACACAGAAGCATAGACATGTCATAAACTGTACAAAGTGCTGTTACATAACGCTTCAACACACCTAGGAGGCAATGAACTGATCCATAAAAGTCGGTCAGAAAAGTTTCTTCATCATCAGCAAGTATTTTGTCCCTTTTGTAAAACGACTTTAGACTGTTGAATTGGAGCTTGTCTGAAATATGGCCTGCAGCCCTGATCTGCTGCCCTCCTCCAATGGTGTGTGTGTGTGTGTGGCTGCATGTGGAGTGAAGGAATGGACTGACAGATGTTTGTCGCGCTGACACACCCCCATTCCTCGTGCTACGGTTCAGCGGCGGCGAGTTTTCCCCTGCCTCATGTCTGTGACCCGTGAGCCCCTCCATCCCTCACTCCCTCACTCCCTCATCCTCCAGCTACACACACACACACTTTTAAATAAACAGACCACGATAGTACAAATGCAGAAATGCAGTTGATTGAGCACCCGGAGTGGAGGGCTCATATTAAAATGGATGTGCACATTGACAGGCAGGGATTACAACGCCGGCTATTTGTTTGTCAAAGAGGAAGCAATTAAACACGGATGGGTTTTTAGGAGACAAGGTGGCTTGTCGCTGATGGGTAATTGAGAAAAATCAAGGCAGTAGAGTTTGTTTCCAACTGACACTTCCTCTTGTTCTCCAAGAGCAAATAACAAGACACACTCACACTCATTATGCATATTACCACTCCGACTCAGCGGGAGCACGGTTTGTTTTTGTTGCTTTAGTTAAATGGACTCTTTATTTAGAAGCCAAAGGATACCGGATGTTTTAGGGTGATATGAAAATGTATACTTGAGAAAATCCAATAACAATATGTGACACTTAGTAACAATAATTACATTTCCTGATAAAGGAAAGTAAAGATATTAGACAGTTGAACGACATAGCTTTTAACTTTGAAAAGAACATGGCAGGAGCTCAAACAGAAAACCCTATTGAGATGTTTCTTCCATTCATTTTCACAAGATTTGCTCCAATTCATTAATAAGAGCATAAGCGATGTAGACCACTGATGTTGGGTGATGAGGCGTCGCTATCATCCCTGAAGTGTTGGACTGTGTGTGGGTAAGGGGTCTGCTCAGCCTGGGACATTTCTTCCAAAACTTGAAAGACAATTTGTTGATAGACTGGGCTTTGAGAACAGGTCATGTTGAAACATGAGGGACTTTCCCAATCTGTTGCCAACAAAGCAGAAGTCGCTGTTATCTAGTTTGGCTGATGACTGATGAAAGAGGAGTTGTATCTTAATCAGATTTCTTGTGAAATGTCTGATAGTTTGTCCTTTTAAAAATCATACAATTTAAATAATGTGAGAGTGAAAGGGGGTATCTGGTGCTTACTGCTTTTAGTTTATAAAGATAGTAGCTTGTGAAGATGGGGATGGAGAATTCTAAGGGTTCACAAGCCAAATAAGTTGGAAATCACTCCTCTAAACAGAGAGTCATTTTGTGGCCTTAAGACCTTCATTATTTGCAACTAAACCATGAGAAGCAACTAAAAGTACACACAAGTATGTAAACATGCATGACACATCATTTTGGCCAGTGTCATTGTTGGTATGAAATCGCCTCCAACAGCTGGATCGATCCAAAGCAGCCTTTTGTGTTTCTATAAACATTTAGCTTGTTGGATGATGTGATGAACTGATAGAGGACGTGATAAAAGCCTCTGAGAATCATGAGCTCAGGACAGAAAACAGCATCCACATTAAAAAGAAAAAAATAAGCTGTTATTCATCTCCAGGATTTGTCAAATGTTTCATGGAGGTCTGTTTATGAGCTTGTGACCAGTTTACCATACATCCTGGGTCTTTACAAACTCTGTAAACTTTTTCATTACAAATCACAAGGATAGTTTAACAAGTTTTAAGACTGCTTTAAGTACCTCATCATAAAAGTTGCTCAGTGGCAGAATGGAGACTCGGCTAATGCTATCTCCTCTGCGTTATGCTTTGTTGGTTTGGGTTAGATTACATTTAAATTAGGAGAAGTTGAACGTCCTCTATGTTCTCTCTCGCATATCTTATTTCCTGCTTATTTTCAGCTTCGATTAATCTATTGCAGCATCAAGTCGGACTAAATTTAAAGTCACATCAGCACTTAGTCGTCCGTTCACTGGGTTCCAGACTCAGCCGACAAGTTTCCAAAATGAAATATTCAGCGATCAAGAGATTTGGCATTTTCAAAACACATTAACGCTGTTGAATATTTTAAGCTGATCTTGAGAACGTACTTCCCTTATAATTATATCATCTATATTTTTTTGCACCGCTGACAGACTCGTTTCAAGTAACATCTTTAAAAATCTCTCTGAAAATAGATATGAAGTGTTTGTAAGTGAGAGCCTTCAGTTCTCGTTGCGCTTTCTTCTCTTCAAAGAGCCTGATATTGCATTGATGGCTGACAGACGGTTCTCTGTGTTCCAGCCAGCGTTGTTGTCCTGGATTTCTTAACACTGCATTAACAAGTGACCATCTTTCTGTTGTTTTCCAGGCATTAAACCGTACCCCAAGTTCACAGCGGTCATCCATGCCGTCTCTCCTCTGGTGTCGCAGTCCCAGCCCATACTCAAGCTGCTGGTCGCGGTGGCCAAGTCCCAGTACTGTGCACAGGTAATGTGTGTGTGTGTGTGTGTGTGTGTGTGTGTGTGTGTGTGTGTGTGTGTGTGTGTGTGTGTGTGTGTGGTGTGTGTGTGTGTGTGTGTGTGTGTGTGTGTGTGTGTGTGTGGTGTGTGTGTGTGTGTGTGTGTGTGGTGTGTGTGTGTGTGTGGTGTGTGTGTGTGTGTGTGTGTGTGTGTGTGTGTGTGTGTGTGTGTGTGTGTGTGTGTGTGTGTGTGTGTGTGTGTGTGTGTGTGTGTGTGTGTGTGTGTGTGTGTGTGTGTGTGTGTGTGTGTGTGTGTGTGTGTCCTTGGTGACTCCCCAAATTGCGCCGCATTTTCCAACCAAAGCAACAACAGAACTCATCCCTGTGTGTTAACACCGGTGGATTGAATTAGAGCAATTTGTAGCAGTGCTACATCTGTCTCCATGGCAGCGAAACCCCCTTCAGCACAGCTGGAGGCGGCATGTATTGATTCCCCTGCTTGCTCCTTACCAGCACGGGAAATGAAATGGAATTTGCTCTCCAAAGGCCGGTTTCTGGTGTGTGTGGTGTGTGTTTGCAAGTGTGTGTCTTTTTTTGTTTGGCCAGCAGAGTTTATGAGTAAGCGACCTTGTATTTTGTGTAGGAGGGATGTGTGTGTGTGTGTGTGTGATGGTTTGGGCAGTTCTATATAAAAAATGAATGTGTGTTTGCGTAGGTGGGATCTTTGCACATGTGTATATTTCAAGCTTGTGTGTATTTTGTGTCTGAGGTTGTATCGTGTACGTACTGTCCATGTAAGTGGTTGGATTCTGCTTATCTCTTTGTGTACTGGTAATTTTTTATTTTATATGTTTTTATACTCATTCAAAAAACAAAACCTGGTCCAATACCTTATTTTTAGGAATATTAACCAAATCTACCAAAACAAAGACATTTACTCCAAACTTCCAATGATCAAATTTAGTAGAATATTTTCTTGGGTGCTAAATGTCCGTGCTCTCTGCTTTTATGCTACTATTTTTGTTACTTTTGGTCCTAGATTTACAGTATCAACATTTTCGTTTAGATAACCTTGATGACATTGCTATGATTTTCTGAAAGATAACTCTCCCCAACATTTATATATCTCTTGTAATGAGTATTACTCATCGAGTCACCATTGAACTAATTATCTGTGAAATGTAAAATTGGCCCTTTAAATGTGTTTGACCAAACAGAACCAGTACAATAATGTTGACTTAATTAAGTCAAGTGTAAATGAACAAAGCTATTGATCTTGACACTTTCCCCTAAAGATTCCCTTACTCTATATGGTGATGTGTTCAAAAGCTCCAGTAGGCGTATAAGTGGGCCTTTTTAACTGCTGTTTCAAGTTCAAGAACGATCTGCCAACATTTTTAGCCAACATAGAAGAAAATTGAGGAATGCTATAATGCTGATGATGCCCTGTTGTGATACTTTTCAAAACTGTGGAACAAGTGATTAAGTGGCCTGTGAGTAGAGATTGTTTTGTCAACCAGCCTAATTCAGATTATTGATTTTAATGTATGATCAACTAATAGGAAAAGTACCGATCGAAGCAAGCAATTGATTCCAGAGATGTTGTGTTTCAGCCACATTTCCATTACTATAGAGGTTTGATGGTGCTACATCAGTGTGGTTATACCCAAGTGGTAGATCCACTTTAAGCCAACATTACTGTAAAATAATAGTAGATTTAATTAACTCTGGCTTAATTTTTCTGGAGGTGCTTCTGTGTTTGCCTTCTACAGGCTGTGCATGCTGAGTGGAGAGCCAGGTACACAGTCGGGGTGTTTTCTTCCACTCTGAGCACACAGAAAAGAGGAGAAAGAGTGGGTGTGGGGGGGGGGGGGCTGCTGAGGAAAGGGATATAAATAAATGAATGGAGAGGAGAGAATGAAAGAACTCAGAGGACGGAGGAGGCTAAATTGGAAGCAAGAAAGCTTTTGAGGCGTCTTCTGACATAGTGGATCTCCTGCTGCGTGCACATGCATTCTTCCACTTGTGCTATAGATACACCAATCGCTTTTTCACCCCTTTCCTCCAGTCATATACACACAAACATGCAGGCATGCATACACAATGCCATCATCAGCACCCTGAGAGCGCTGGTGGGCTGACAGAGACACCATCTGTCTTTCTAATAAAGGACTAGAGCCCGTGTAAGAAGAGAACAACACGTTTCTCAGCTGTGTGTGTGCAGAGATCCACACTGTATACCTGTTGTCTCACAATGACAAACACTTTCTCTCCTTTTGAGCGATGCTTGTTTGGCTTTTTATTCAAACCGTCTTATAATAATGTGATTTTGCATCCATCAATTCATCCCATTCATCAAACAGCTGTGTGTCATCCTTTTTTTATAGACAAGTGACATATTTCCACACAGCTGCTGTATACTGCAGGCACAGGGCAAATACCAGATACAAATGGCTTCAAGCTCATCATTTGGCAGGCCCAGTCAGAGCGCAGCGTCCCCGAGGGCTGCGGCTGACGTAGTTAATGTCAGAATCATGTGAATCGTTATTGATCCCCGCAGGGAGATTCTTGTGGTTTGCCTGTATCAGGAACGCCAGGATCTGCGATGGATTAATTTACCGACATTTTCAAGGACATTTCAGCAGGGCAGATGTGAGCTGACACACAGGAAGAGATTATGATGAAGATGTGTTCCTATCGCTTTCCTTATCATTAATAACTGGGTATTCATTTCCCAAATGCTCAGGCAAAAATAATTCCTAGAGTTAAAATATGTTGTATTATTAGTTTTAACAGTTTGGCTTCATATCTCAATGTATGTAATCATTTATCAACCTCGATTTCATGGGTTCATTTACTGTACAAATAATGATTAGATCAAACTCCAAAAACATACTCCACTCTTTTTGGAGATGTTTTTTCCTGACGAAATGCCGGCATGCATACTAAAATGTATCACATTTTGAATGTGGTTTTCAACAGCATGACTGAAATGGAGGAACTGGAAGTGAAGGCATGGCAGATGGTGGTGCTGGAGCTCCAGGCAAAGCTCACACGGCAGAAACTAATAAATCTTAGAGAATACATTTTTCACCTGCTATTTGTAAAGTTTTGAAATGTCAAAAAGAAGGGTGGGGGGGGGGTGTGAAGATTCAACTTGATATGCAATCCATCTTCACATTCTCCTCATAGTTTTCAGATGATTTGAGCTGCGTGGTAACTGCACTAATATTAGACTTCCTTCATTAATGTACACTATATTATTATATATATTATAGCCAATAGCATGTAGTTTGTACATACTGATGTCCCATTGGCAACCCCCCAACACACTTACCTAGCTTACTAGCTAATGTAGCTTGTTAGCGTTAGCGCCATGAGTTGGTTAAAAAATGCTGTTATCATAACATATTGTAAAAAAGGGCCTTCATTTTCACCTATTGTTCACATATATGATGTCATAGTCTAAAGCTGAAGGGAAAAGCATGTTAGACTTAGTATAATAGGAATCCTATTATGAGGAAACACATGATCACACTGCTATTTCTTACTCGCACAAACCTGTGTCATTGCTTAGCTTACGTTCTGAAAATAATTCGTTTTTACTTTATACACAAGAGAAGCTATAACTTACCAGTTGGTTTAGGAAAGGTAACCATATTGTTGTCCAATAAAGAGCAGGATGTTGCTAATGAGCAGTTGACACTAATTTCATGGTACGCATAACCTTGAAGTGACCAGAAGCAAGGATTTTTGTTGTTGTCGTATTAGCCAGGTGAGAAAAATCTCACTGAATAGGCAGCATCTTTGAGTCTGATATCTAGATATTTTCATACTAGACAAAACTCAAGCTTGATGGGCCTGCCATGTCCTGTGATGCAAAGCTAAGTTTGCTAGGCTGTGATTGGAGAATAGCCATTTGGGGGAGGGGTTTATCAAACTTTTTCACAAAAATATAAGCCGCATGAAAACTTGCTGAGATATAAGAATGGAAGACTGTGTGTAAGGTCAGATGGGGTCATGTTTTGTGTGTGTATGTGTGTGTTTCTCATCAAACATTAACATGTCTGGCATTGAACTGCAGTGGATGGGAGCAGGTTAACTCCATGTGAAATGTGAATGTCGCTGAACAGCAGTCCGAGCATGATAAAACATTAGTCTTTCATGTTAAACGTCATGTGGAGTGAGATCAGATGGGCCGGAAAAGTGTTCAGCGAAACGTGGTAGTTAGAAATGAAATGTGACAATGGGACATGATTGGTTAAGGGCTGAATTTTTACGAACCACCCTGGAGCCATAATTGGAAATATTTTATCACTGGAGTTGCCCTTCTGGCTCTTTAACGTTTAATCAGCCTGTAATACGGTGACATTTGCTGGCCTTAGGTCGCATAAATGTCACATGTTCAACTAGCTTGGAAGTGCTGCGAGTTGTTTAGGTTAGAGAATCAAATTAGGTATAATTCAGTTATTTGCAGGTAATAATAAAACCTTTTTTTCCATCTTTTAGATCATCGTCCTGTGGAATTGTGACAAGCCTCTCCCTGCCAAGCACCGCTGGCCGGCCACATCTGTGCCCGTCATCGTCATCGAGGGGGAGAATAAGGTGAGACTAAACCCTTTTTTTGACCCTTAAGATGTGATCACTATAATTTCTAATTACACAGCTCCTCTTATGCATTTTCTCTAAGTGTAAAGCTACTGTATCTCGGCCCATTTCATTCAGTCGGAGAGTTTCTGGGAGTTAATGAGTTTCGATTTGTGCTGCACTGATTCCATTAAAGGACATTTTTTGTGGTTTCAATTAAAGCTTAGTAATAGGAATAATATACATCGGATGGGGCAAAGCGTGGCTGAGAAGCTAATGCATATTGTTAGGAAAGATAAGGAGGCAATAACCGCTAAGTAGCTTTTATTTATCCTTAATGTTTTTATTGCATTTTGCTCTTTAATCATAATTAAATGAAGAGTCACACAATCTCTCCGGAGGAATAAGTCACAGTTGATTTATCAAAATGCACTTTGGATAAACACAATAAATACAAGTCTAGAAGACGAGACACAGCATTGATTTAATTATTTTTCAGCTTGTATTTTATTACATTTGTTCAATAACTCTTGACCCTCAAATCTATGTAGCCGTCTAAAAGCATAAGTGCAAAATCTTTATTTAAATATATATGCTTTTTAGAGATTCAACGATTACTTTTGTTAAGGTCAGGAATCAAGCTGACAAATGCCCCATCAGTAATGTGATATCTTAAAACAACTTGTTTTATTCAAACATACTATGAAGAGTCTCAATATATTCAGTTAATAAGCTGCAACTAGAGAGTAGTTATACAATAGTTATTATGCTTTCTCTGTTGTCTTTCACCAACATCACTACCTTAACTTGATCTGTTTTCTCAATATCTCAAGTACACAGGGGAAAAAAAGAAAAAATATGACTTAAAAAAGATTGTTTACCATGAGTGAGGGAATTTTCTCAGTAGATGTTCTCATGTCAGTCTGGAGATGAGTTGTTTTCCTGTGTTCCTATGACTGACACTGTCCCAGGAGAGTGAAGTGAAGCTCCCAGCCTCAGTGCATTTACTATGACAACCATATTAGGCTGAAGACTCTTCCCTGGTGAAGGGCTCTCTGTGTTTCTCTTGACCTCCCTGTGACCCCTGCTTGTCAGAGTCAAAGGTCAGACGTTGACACAGGGTGAATATTGGCCTCTAAACGCTGATCTGAGTTTGTTTTTTTGGAAAAGGAAACAGGATCTGGTCGCTCATCTGTATTCGGGGATGTCAGACTCATCAGATACAGTTCTCTCCACCTTCTTTAGTGAGGACTTAACGTCACCTGCCAATCAGAGGAAGTGGTTTCCACATCAGTGTCAGTCACCCGGCGGTAGGCTGGGTTTATGGTTTACCTCTCCTCGTGGCTCTGAGTGCTTTCTCCCAAGCTGTCAATCACTGTGTGTGTGTGTGTGTGTGTGTGTGTGTGTGTGTGTGTGTGTGTGTGTGTGTGTGTGTGTGTGTGTGTGTGTGTGTGTGTTGTGTGTGTGTGTGTGTGTGTGTGTGTGTGTGTGTGTGTGTGTGTGTGTGTGTGTGTGTGTGTGTGTGTGTGTGTGTGTGTGTGTGTGTGTGTGTGTGTGTGTGTGTGTGTGTGTGTGTGTGTGTGTGTGTGTGTGTGTGTGTGTGTGTGTGTGTGTGTGTGTGTGTGTGTGTGTGTGTGTGTGTGTGTGTGTGTGTGTGTGTGTGTGTGTGTGTGTGTGTGTGTGTGTGTGTGTGTGTGTGTGTGTGTCAGGAAGCCTGTGGTTTGTTGTTTTTGTGGCGAGGCAAGCTGTGTTCCTCCACAGGAAAAGAGGGAGAAAGAGAGAGAGTTTATCATCTCTTCTGCTTGACTCTTTCTTACTGATCCCCTGTCTCTTTCATCCCCTCTCTCATTTACATGTCCTCTCTTTTCTGATCCAATGTCTCCACGTTGCCAGTCATTTAAATATTATAATTAAATAAATTCACATATTTGGAAAACTGAGGCAGAGAAATTCTAACATTTTTGTTGTAGAGTAGTTTCAGTCACACACAGCCATGAATTCTCACCAACGCACCAAATCCGCAGCTTAAAATAGTCCTGAGCATTCACTCCAGTTTGAGTGAATATTGCAAAAATTGGCCATCTGTGTTGGAAATCACTAAGCCTTTTTAAGAGTGACAAACATTGTTAGTGTGTCTCTTGTCATGGAATTTGTTGAAAGTTAGAACAACATGGAATAACACCACCTTATCATCAACAGTGTTCCCTCTCTTCCTCCCTCTGTCCCTCCTTCTGTCTCTCTGGCAAGTTGGCCAAAAGGCTGCTTTAGGACTGTTGATTTAAGCCGTGTGAGAATCCCTGCAGCGCTTAATATGGTTTCCACAAAAGGGTGGTCCTCGTCTCTCCCTGCTCTGCTGCTGTCCTTTAGAGAGGAGGTGAAGCGCTAGAGGCTGATTCCTGCAGTAAGAGCTCACATTCCTGGAGAGCACCAAGAAGCCCCGGGCTAATGTGTCACACTTCTAACGTTACAAACCATCGGGGAGTTGGAAACACCAGCCTCTCATCCTCTCCTCTCTTTTCTTTTTGTTCGTCCCTTTTTGCTTTTGTCTCGCCGTCACTTTCTCCCCTCTTGTCTCTAACTCTTCTTCGCTGGTATTCCCGCTGACTCGTTCCAGTGAAAAACATGGGATAGTTTCTCTCTACATGCCTGCAGGATATTAGAGCAGTGACAGTGGAATCTCTCCTTTCCACTCTCATTTTCTCCCTCCTTGTCTCTTTGTTAATACTAATGTCCCTCTCTAGACTTGGCTCCTCCGCCCTTGTTAACTGAGAGAGACAGTATACACTTTGAGAAGCTGGTGCTGCTTCTGGTGGGTTTTTGGGGAGAAGAGGAATACAAATGACACTTGTACGAGCCCAAACAAAGAAATCAAGGCTCCGCTGTAGGAGATGGTGGATGGAAATCCATGATTCATACTTAATTGTATGGCTTTAGATGAAAAAAAACAGTAAAACCTTATTGTGTTGCCTATTTATGACATTTAAAGGTAGGGTAGGTAAGTTTGAGAAACCGGCTCGAGATACACTTTTTGTTATATTCCATGGAATGCTCTTAACATCCCGATAGCAATGAATATCTTAAGTGCTTTGACAAAAAATCCATTAAAAAAAATCATCTATGGAAGCCGTAATACTGTAAAAAGCACGACCAATCATTTTAGCCGGCCAGCTAAAATAACTGGATGGCCTACCTGCCTGTCAGCCTTCCATCGGGGCACAAACTTATCTCGTGCCCTCATTGGTCATGTGCGCGTTCGTGTGTGTTGGAGGAGGGGCTCTATAAGGAAGTGGCAGATTTTCTCCGGTTGTGTATTTTCAAATTCTAGCGATCTCGAGCCGGTTTCTCAAACTTACCTACCCCACCTTTAAGCAACATTATGTTCAATCTGCCTTTTTCATCACCAAATGGATCTCACCTTTTTCTTTATTAAAGATGTTTTTGGGCCAGAGAGTGCCTTTATTGGAGATGCAGGGTTATGAGAGGAGATAGAGGGGAGACATGTTCGGTGGGCTAGGGTTTCGAACCAGCTTTCATGGCAGCGGACACTTCTTTTTGTCCTGATCCATTTATATAAAAACCTGTCTGAAAATGAGCTGATCAGATTTTGGCCACTTTATGATGTCATAACGATGTTTTGGCTTGTGTAACCATTAGCCAATCACCAACCAAGGTAACCCCCCCCCCCACCTTATCACCTGAATCTCCTCCTAGAGCACCATTGTGTTCTTTTTAACCAAATATCTCTCAGAGGGGCGTGGGGAGTGGCTCCTTATTTTCATCTAAAGTCACAGACAGAGAATCAGCACTTTTGAAACAGGGCAGAAACAGAGGGGATTATGGGATGCTACAATTCACGATCTGTTTGGTGTTTCAGCCAAACACTTCAGAGACATGCTTTGTATATATCTGAGACCTATAATAATTGATGGAAAACTAATAATAGGGGACCTTTAAACACTTTATTTTTAGTATTTAACAGTATTAAATACAGTTCTTCTGTATTATGTTGCCCAGAGTCAACTGATATGTGAATGCAATCTATTTCTCTTTTTTTTACCAACATTTTTAGGTAATATCGCCTGGACTATAATACAAAATCGGTATCAGAACCAGTTTCTTCCTCCATGAATCAGAATAGACTGGTTTTGCAGCAATAACAAATTATTATTTTATGTCATACCGAGCTGTAGCTTTTCAAATTGTAAAGATTTGCTGCTCTCTCTATCTTTCATCAGCATTGTTTACCTCAAACTAAGTGCTGCCTTAAGAACACCGGCTAGACGTCTGGAAAATGAAATCATGACACAGACAGCTTTGAATACTGCAAGCTGATGGCCCTGATGATTCATAAAATAAAAAAAGCTTATTTATTATTTAGCCACATCCTGCAACAGCTAATCAAATGAGTCAAAACCCAAACACTGTAGCAAATCATGACCGTTATACATTTGAGGATGTTTTTTTTAATTAGGTATTGATGTACTTGTCTCTGGTGTAGGTGATTTAACTTCTCTTGACCGACTTGATGTAATTCTAAAACTAAAATCTTTAAAGTTTTGGCTTAAATGAGCATCTTGAAGACATCACCTCGGGCCTTTTTCAATACTTTACAACATTTTAAACACTAACAGGTTGGTCGATAATAAAAATAAATCATTATTTGCAGCACCAGAATGGATAACAGGCTCCTCACAGCTCCACAGTAAAGTATTTTTTCTGGGTGTTTGTTGCTGCCGTCGGCTGTAGGAGTGATGAAGACCTGTTGAGGGTGAGGTCACCGCGCTTGAACGCATCGCGCAGACAATGCCAGGAGTTGATATAGAAAGAAGTTCAACACTGACTATCCTCCAATGTAAATAAAAGGGCTTTTCAGTGCAGGCGGCGATTCAAAAGAACATTTTTCTTATTTTCCTGACCTTCAGTGCTGTGCTCCATAACTGAATAACAGGCTGTTAGTGTGTATATGTTTAAACTGTGTATCTGGAAGTGATTCTGTGTCTACGTCCATTAAAGTTATGTTTCGTGAGCTGTATCTTGTTTGTGTGGGAGGTTGTTTAAGCCCGAGCACACATCCAGCAACCACCACACACACTTTGTCAACAAGAAGCTGCTGTTTTCTCATCCGAGCGCTTTTCATCACAGAAACACACCGAGAGACTTCCCCGTCTAAATGTCCTCAAGATGTTGCTCTCTACATCCGCCCACCAGGCCCCGGACACCATCACTCTCTGTGCTTCCAGTAAATATTCAAGGACTGTCATGTAATGTTTGGTTTAATTTGCCGTTAGATAAATGCACTCGGTTTATAAACAGTGGTGGATCGGAGCGGTGAACGTATCCCATATGCAGGATACATGAATCATGCTGTATGTGTCTGGCTGCATTTATGTGTTTTTATTGATTTAAAAGAGAAAGACGAGCCCGCGGCAGTAATGGAAACTTGTATCAGCACTTTATCACTGTTGGCAATGGGAGGGCAGTGTGCAGTAAAGCGTAGGATATTGGCTTTTCTCTTGTTCTCTGTGCGCTGTTGTTTGTTGATGTGATGGCTTGTTGTCTCCCGTGAATCTTTAAGGCGTCATCAAAAATACATAGAGTTGATAGTTGAAGCAGAAAAGTTTTTATAAAATGTATCTCCCGGTGAAGATCTGCCCGTGGATATGATTTAAAAACTCCTGAGCTTTGGGTAAGGCAAGGCAAGGCAAGTTTATTTATATAGCACCTTTCAACACAAGGCAATTCAAAGTGCTTTACAAAAATGAAAGACATTAAGAAAATGGCATTTAAAAACAGTCATTAAAAAGCAAAGATAATAAAATAAACATTAAAAAAAAAATACATGGATAAAAGTGACAGTGCAGTTTAAGATGTGAATAGTTCAATTAAAAGCAGCGGCAAAAAGAAAAGTCTTCAGCCTGGATTTAAAAGTAAGAGTTGCAGCGGACCTGCAGGTTTCTGGTAGTTTGTTCCAGATATTTGGAGCATAATAACTAAACGCTGCTTCTCCATGTTTAGTTCTGACTCTGGGGACAGAAAGCTGACCAGTCCCAGAGGACCTGAGAGTTCTGGATGGTTCATAATTTAGCAGGAGGTCAGAAATGTATTTTGGTCCTAAACCATTCAAAGCTTTATAAACCAGCAGCAGTATTTTTGAAATAAATTCTTTGACACACAGGAAGCCAGTGTAAAGACTTCAGAACTGGAGTGATGTGATCCACTTTTTTAGTGTTAGTGAGGACTCGAGCAGCAGCATTCTGAATCAGCTGCAGCTTTCTAATGGATTTTTTAGTGAAACCTGTGAAGACACCATTACAGTAGTCGAGTCTACTGAAGATAAAAGCATGGACAAGTTTTTCCAAATCCTGCTGTGACATTAATCTTTTAATCCTAGATATATTCTTTAGGTGATAGTTGGCTGATTTAGTAACTGTTTTAATGTGACTGTTGAAGCTCAGGTCAGAGTTCATGACTACACCTAGATGTCTGGCTTCATCTGTTGTTTTGAACATTGCAGACTGAAGCTCAGTGCTAACTTTTATACGTTCTGCCTTGGCTCCAAAAACCATTACCTCAGTTTTATCTTTGTTTAATTGGAGAAAGTTCTGACACATCCAGTCATTGATTTATTCAATGCACTTACTCAGTGTTTGAATTGGAGCATAGTCTCCTGGTGAAATGGTTATGTAAATGTGGGTGTCATCTGCATAGCTATGGTAACTTATTTTGTAGTTTTTCATTATCTGAGCCAGTGGTAGCATGCAGATGTTAAAGAGAAGAGGCCCCAAGATGGAGCCTTGAGGAACCCCACATGTCATATTTGTCAACTTAGATGTGTATTTTCCTATAGAAACAAAGTTTTTTCTGTCCTTTAAGTAGGATTCAAACCAATTTAGAACTGTTGCCGAAAGTCCCACCCAGTTTTCTAGTCGGTCTAGTAATATGTTGTGGTCAACAGTGTCAAACGCAGCACTGAGATCTAATAATACTAACACTGAAGTTCTGCCACTGTCTGTGTTTAAGTGGATGTCATTGAAGACCTTTACAAGAGCAGTCTCAGTGCTGTGGTTTGGACGAAAGCCTGACTGGAACACATCGAAACAGTTATTTAAATGCAAGAAATTACTTTTTCAATGATTTTACCTAGAAATGGCAGGTTTGATATTGGCCTGTAGTTGTTCATTACTGAAGCATCTAGATTATTGTTTTTTAAGAACGGTTTAATGACTGCAGTTTTTAGGGCCTGTGGAAAAACACCTGAGTAAAGAGACTTGTCTACTATATGAAGTAGATCTGAGGCCATGCAATGAAAAACATTTTTGAAAAATCCTGTTGGAATAATATCAAGGCAGCAGGAGGAGGATTTCAGAAGTTGAATAATGTCCTCTAGGTTTTTATCATTAATCTGATGGAATTGTGTCATGGTGTTTGAATTGATTTTAAGTGGACACAGGGACAACACATTTGCTGTACCTGATGCAGAGGCACTGACTGCTTGTCTGATTTTCTGAATTGTGTCAGTGAAGAAGGAGGCAAAGTCATTGCAGGCCCTGGTGGATAGAAATTCAGAGGCTACTGACACTGGGGGGTTTGTTAGTCTGTCGACAGTAGCAAATAAGGCACGTGCGTTGTTTTTGTTTTTGGCAATGATGTCAGAGAAGAAAGACTGTCGTGCAATTTTCAATTCCAAATTATAAAGGCCAAGTCTCTCTTTATAGATTTCAAAATGAACCTGGAGATTTGTTTTTCGCCACCTACGTTCAGCTTTTCGACACTCTCTTAGGTAGAAACTGAAAGAACAAAACGTCAGGGTAGCTAAGATCATCCTTAACAATTATATAAGCCATGTTTTTACACTACCTCTGGATCGTTTGACTACTTTAACGTGAAAAGTGTCATGTGAACTCACAAGGATCACCAGTTCATTACATTTTATTGTCTTTCAGCTCATTGTTTGTTTTTTTTGGCACACAGATTGACTGTTTTGTTTCACTCGCACAACTCTAAAGCTGGACTTTGGCTTTAATTACGCCCACAATTGGCAGCCCCCCAAAACTGTACACTTTATACAAGCACCAAACGACAGATAAAGTTAGCTGGAAAACATAGTGGAGCATTTGGCAGCTAAAGTGTTTTCCCTCTGGAGTTGGTAGAGACCAAAATCAGAGCTCAAAAGAAAGATGTTGGATACAAAAGCCCATATTTTGAGCAAATCTCTCAATTCAACCTCCAAGAAGTAAGAATGACATGAAGCTGTTTCCATTTGGCTCTCGTTTCTATTCATGATCATCTCTCAACTGTTAGTTCAAAAGGCACCTGAATGAAGAAAGGGGCAAACAGTTTCCACAACTTTCAGAAATATATTTGCTCCTGCCTTTTTTGTGTTCCAGGCTACTAAATGATCACAAATGAAAGCTGTATGAGGGGAATGAACTCCCAACTCCTCTGGTTTTAATCCTCTGTGCTCTGTGTTTCTCCTGCAGGTCATGAGCAGTCGCTTCCTGCCCTACGAGACCATAGTGACCGACGCTGTCCTCAGCCTGGATGAAGACACCGTGTTGTCCACCACAGAGGTTTGTTGTAATATAATAAAGTAGAAAACCTTTGCTCTCTTTCTTGCTGCCTCTTGTGTGTATCAATAGTCTGGTCCTCTTGAGACAAAACACAGATCCAAACCCTCTCCATGTCCCCAAAGCAACTCTGATTGCATTTTCTCTCTATATTGTTATCACTCTTTTGGTTTGTCCCCGGTGTTTTCAAGTTATCGCTCTGAAACTCAATTCTTAAATCGCTTAAACTACTCTAACTTTGACTCCCAGTGATTTTTTTCCCTATCCACATCCGCCCTTCTCTTCCCTTTTCTTTCCGCCTGTAATCACACCGTACCTCCAGAATCCCCTATTGGAGAACGGCATTATGGGCATTTTTGTTCCACATGCTGTCGGGACTGTTCACGTGTTTCCCGGGGACAGGTTTTGGCGCGGCACCATGGGAAGCCAGATGCTGCTTTGAACAGGGTAGAATTAGATCTCATAAAGGCTGTTTGTGCCGAGGATCAAAATGGCAACTCAGAGCTGGCAGTTTAGGGAAAATCCAGCACCGAAAAAATGAATTGACTCGTGTTGCTCACATGGAGACAGTTGGATCATGTTCACAAACATTAGGGTTTGGGAAACATAAATGCCAGTAATGTTTATACAATTTAGTGAGAAATAGCATCACTTTCTGGACAGTCTCCTTGTTTTCCTCTTAGCTGAAGATGGTGAGAAGCAGAGCAGATATTCATAATCAAATAAAAACTAGCATCCAGTTCTCCTTTCTGTTTTTTTAATTTATAATAATGTATTGTAAAATATGCCAGCTATACTTCCGTTTGATTCTGGTTCAACGAGTTTTCCTTGTTACTGTTATTCCATATACGCTTTTGCTTTGCATTGAAAGTAAGAGCGAAAGAGAAGCAGATCTCTCTTCTTCTCCTCCTCTGGGATTTGTTGGTGAGCACAAATTGTGGCAGGAAGAGATAAATGTGTGTTGTGTTTTAGAGTGGGGTTTGACATAATGTAAGCAGTCTCAGTGAAGTACAGTGTGGTAATGTGTGGTGTAATGCAGAACAGGCTGTTTGAGGAGCAGCTGAGCACTTTTAGATCTTCTCATCTGATTATTTGATTGAATGCTTTGATCGTGTCCTCAGAAGTTCAGGCAGCTGCTGAGAGGAGACTGCGTTGTGCTCAATGAGGTTTTGCCGCTGTTGTATTTTCCCTATGGTGTGTTACAGTGTGCACAGCCTTTGTTTCTTGTTTTGATCAATTAATACTGTAAATAGAACATTAATTGCAACCAAATGTTATTTCCCACATTTTAAATGTCATGCTTTAAACCTTCAGTGCAGACCATTTGTCTGAGTAATTACAAAACTAGCATGGGAAAGTTACTCACATCGCCAATATGCTCCAAAATACAAAAAGTCCTGCAGTCCATCTTTAAATGTTAAACTGACAGAATACATCTGGGAATACTTGAGATTTTTTACATTTTTCTTGCTTTATAAATAAGTTAACCCATTAACTAAAGCAACTTGTGGGTTGCCAAGATGTGGAGGCTGGTGTTTATCCTGTCTGACTAGTAGTAATGCGGTTATAATTGTTGACATTTATTATTAAACAGTTTCATGCTTTCAAGAAGGAATCAAATCAATGAAAGAGTTAGTTAATAAATAGTTTTAATTGTTTAAAAGTAATGGTTGAAATAAACAACAGGGGTACCTTGGGGTAGTTTATTTGACGCGATTGTGAAGACTGTATGTCATATCAAATATATTGGTAACCGCTGCCGTGATCAACTAGAGAATGAACAATAATAATTTATAAAAGTGTCCTGCTCAAGGAGGATAAACGCCATTTAAAATGTATTTGCCCAACCTGGCAACCCAAAAACTCTAACCAACTGCTTGTAAAATGATGAATCATAAGAAAATACATTTTTTATCATGAAATAATTAATCTCAACTTGAAATAGATGAATTATCAGGATGTGGTACTAGTTGTAAATATCATGTTCTGCATCATATATGTTCAAATCTGTATTTTCTTTCTGTCAAGGTGGATTTTGCCTTCACCGTGTGGCAGAGTTTCCCAGAGCGGATCGTTGGTTACCCGGCTCGCAGCCACTTCTGGGACAGCAACAAGGAGCGCTGGGGCTACACGTCCAAATGGACCAACGACTACTCCATGGTGCTGACGGGGGCCGCCATCTACCACCGGTACAGAACACACCTCACATTAAACACTTCCACTACAGCTGTTTACCTCCTCTCTGTCTCACTGCGCTCTGCTGTTTCCTCTCATGCTCTTTCACTTCTGCTCTGTTCTCCTTCTGTTGTACGGGGGATCACAGCTCTGCTCCGCTCTGCTCTCCAGTGTTCAGTCGTCTTTCTTTTGATGCAACACTTTGATGTGGTGATCTGTAGATTATAAAAGTAGGTGTGATGTTCAGTGTTGCACAGCCTCGGGAATTTTGACACTTGGTATGTTTTATCCCAAAACATTTCAATTTGTCTGCTTCAAGGCGTTTCATAGTTCTTGTGTTTAGTTTTACTACAGGGCTGTCAGCTTTTATATGGTTTCACTCAGCTGTGATGGCCGCAGTCCATTAGGCTGAAGCCAGCCAATCAGAGGAGCCCAACGCTTAATCGCTTTCAATAACTCAGGCACTCGATTTTTCTCGAACACCAGCAATCAGTCTGCTGATGGACTCAGAGTTCTGCCCAAAGGCTTCAACCTGGAACCTAAATTTGTGGTTCTTCTTAATTGAGTTGTCGAAGCAGTTCTTTGTGACCCCCCCCCCCCCCCCCCGCTACACAGGGACGCTTTTAGGCATTAATCCAAAACCAAAGTTTGGGAACTTACTCAGCATTGTTAGAGAAGAATGTAACAGCAAATCAATATACAATTCTACGTGTGCAATATGGAAAGGGAAATGAGTTATAAAAAAAAACACAAAATGTAATCAGACCACATCTCACAGATATACAGTTTTCTCGAACAGAGGCAATTAAAAAAACAATGAACATCAACAAAGTTGGCAAATCAAATCCTTAATCTGCTTTATTTTCCTATGAAATGCTTTCATCTTTGATTCTTACTGGAGTTACACCAGGATACAGTACACACACACACACACACAATGTGTTTAGAATTTTGGGATGTTCCTCTATGGTCAGAGTTTTGGCTGCTCCCATTGATTTAGGGTCCTAAGGGCCAGTTACAACATACGAGTTGTTTTTATTGCCTGTGCCAAACAAGCATTTAACTGAGAATGATTGAATCAGGGGACGCTTGCTATTTTAATAATGTGCTCTAATTAATATGTCTAACTATTGCTGCTACATGCCCATTTGCACTATTGTACAGTATATTGTATATACTGGTGTTTTAATGTTTGGTCGTGTTATGTATATTGTAAAATGTACTTTTGCTGTTCTAGAAAAGGCCAAGACCAATTTACACTGAGGTGGACGCTAAATGAAATCAAATGTATCATTATTTTAGGGTCTCAGGCTTTTTCCAAGCTACCCAAATCATTCTTTTCTATATATTTCTAACTCCTCACTGTCCTCTCTTGCAGGTACTACCATCACCTCTACACCAACTTTTTACCCACGAGTCTGAAGGGCATGGTGGACCAGCTGGCCAACTGTGAGGACATCCTGATGAACTTCCTGGTCTCTGCCGTCACCAAGCTGCCGCCCATCAAGGTCACACAGAAGAAACAGTACAAGGAGACCATGATGGGACAGGTAAGAGTGGATGAAGCCCCTCTCAAGACTGCACCCATGTCATTTTAAAATGTATTATGGATTACTTAAAGGTCACCTATTGTGCAAAATCCACTGCTAGTGGAGCTTGCACTAATTGTGCCGCATAAGCGCACAAAGGTGCGCCGCATTTGCGCTTCAGATGAGGCACCCTCCGCGAGGTGAGGCTCCCTCCACGAGGCGAGGCCCCCTCCGCGAGGTGAGGCCCACGCAGTCTGCGTGATCTGCGTGTAGGGAGGGGCGGCCCTGTGTGTAACCATTAGCCAATAACCGACCAAGGTAACCCCCCCCCCCCACCTTATCACCTGAATCTCCTCCTAGAGCACCATTGAGTTTTTTTTAACCAAATATCTCTCAGAGGGGTGTGGGAAGGGGCTCCTTATTTTCATCTAAAGTAAAAGACAGAGAATCAGCACTTTTGAAACAGGGCTGAAACAGAGGGGATTATGGGATGCTACAATGATCTGTTTGGTATTTGGAGCCAAACACTTTAGAGACATGTTTTGTTTATATCTGAGACCTATAATATATTGATGAAAAACAGTGTAATAGGGGGCCTTTAAATGAATCAATGCTATTCAACACTGCCAAGAGAAACAGGACACTTGTGAGTACAAAGAAATTGATCTGCATTAAAGAGGATATGATTGAACTCTTCAGAATTTTACATTTAGAGTTATAATATAATCCTCTTTGATTCTATGATTTTTATAAATGGTGATTCATGCTGGAGCCAGCGTTGTTGTCTTCCCAGCATCAGTGTGTGTCATGGCCTCTCAGTGTGACTTGCTGCTCCGTGAACAGCATGAATTATTCTGTTAAAAAGCTTTGCCCGTGGGTAAACAGGACAAGTCACTCACTGTACAGCCCAGAGACAAAAGCACAGAGGAGCCGTGTCAGTTTTATGGCTTTTTAGAGTTTTCTAGTCTGACTCCAGTCTCCCAAATATAGAATATGATCCAGCTGATGATTTATTGAGAAACATTAATGTCCTTCATCATTTATTAATGGTGTTCTCTTGTCACAGTGTCTGAAATGTGACTATGATTGAATGAAAGGATGCAGATGACTGTTATTGTCGAAGTTTCTCATTTAATGAGAACGTCTCTTTCCTGCCAATGATCTGAGGCTGTGGTTTCTGTCTGGCAGAGCCCCACATCCATCCCATCGACACCACTTCACCACGTTCAAAAAAAAGTTCATAACAATTGCTTTTGAAGTGGATCTCAAGCTATACAGCATACACTAGGATATTGTTCCAATGCTTTTTCATGCAGTTTAATTGTTTGTGTTTAAGCTCACTATTCCTACAGTTACATCATTTTATTTTAGCACAGTTTAGCTTTTTTTGTTGTTTACCATTTAGCCATTTCCTTATATCTAACCATTTAAAACTGATAACCATACCATTTAGTTAATTATGTAAAATGTTACTTAAGGTCTTCTTTACAGCTGTTTATCCATTCAAACTAGCTCTTATTATTTGAACTGGTTCACCATTATTTTAAGCTTGTTATGTCAACTGGTTTACCTCAACTATCTAGCTAACTGGTTATTATGACAACACTGTTTTTCTAGAGGTCAGCAGCACAAATCAGGCTATATAAATTCATACCTTGTATATTTGTCCATGTAATTGAGAGACAGCCCTTAGCAAAAGCAGAAGTACATCCTTGAGTACAAGTACCCCGTGGTTATGAATCACTTATCTAAAGCAGGGTTTTGTCCTATCTGGGTAACAGGGGCACTGCGCCCTCATACCAAAAAGCCGATATTACCCGTAACATTTTTAAAAAAAAATCTGTTTGTCAAAGACTGTACAATTACTCAAGAAATATGAAATCAGGTCAAATAGACCGTCAGACGCATATACAGCTTTGTTTTTACGGAGCTGCGACGTCACATTGTTGTTTACGTCTGCGGGGCCATCTTGTATAGGGGCGCCATGTTCTTGTAAGAATTTATACATCTTAGAAACAAGATCAGCGCCCTCATACTATATTTTTCTAGATAAACCCCTGTAAAGTAATAATTATGTCATCAAATATGTTCTTGTTGTTCTTAGTTTAATCTTTACGGTGTATTGCACTTCTTGTAAGTCACTTTGATAAAAGCCTCAGCTCAATGCAATGTAATGTCATTATTTGCTGTAATAATATGAAGCTAACTTTCTTCTTCCTCTTCCCCCAGTCTTCGAGGGCTTCCCGCTGGGCCGACCCGGACCACTTCGCCCAGCGGCAGACCTGCATGAACAAGTTCGCCAGCTGGTTTGGCGCCATGCCGCTGGTCCACTCCCAGATGAGGCTGGACCCCGTCCTGTTCAAGGACCAGGTCTCCATCCTGCGCAAGAAATACAGGGACATCGAGAGGCTCTGACAGGACTGGCGCCCCCTCGCGGGAGACCCCACGCAGGGGGAGGCGCGGGAGAGAGACTCAGTGGAGAGCAGAAGGAGTAGTAAGACTCCAGCGGGGTGGACGGGGGGGGCCGCTCTGCCTTCCACTCAGCACATCGCCAACGACCACAGCGCCAGGACTTGACGTGTGGAGGGATGAATAGGAAACAAGCAGATGGCGTTTGGATACAAAAAACACAAACAGAAATCGCAAACAGACAGACAGAGAAGAGTACACAAACTGATGGACATGCCAAACAGTTCTGTATGTTCTGCAAACGTGCAAACACGCAGCACACACTACTGACGACGAGAACTCTTGGATAGAATATTTTTTTGTACAACACGAACAAGCACGACATTGACTCTCCTGCTCTCTCGGCACATGTGCAGGACGGTAGAAGAGGGAAGGTGTACACGGTCACAAACCTGGCAACCCCGCCCACCTACTGATCGCCCCTAGCAACCCTCCCCCTTGCCTGCATCAGGATGTAATACTGGACTACCCAAACCCCTGCTTCATATCCCAGGAAACCCTGTTCTTTAGTTGATTTGATTTCTGTACAAATCAGCTCTCTGGTGTCACTGTTGACTCTCTTCTCTCTAAGAGGTTTCAAATCTGAGCGTCTTCAGTGTCCTATTTCCATTCTCAAAGCAGAAACGTAAACAGCAGTGTCCAACCTGTTATTCAAGTGGCCCGACGAGGTTTCTTTTATAGCAAAGCAGCCATTATTTCTTGAAATTCAAAACACATCCTTGAGCCTGAAAACATCCCCCACCCCCCCCCCTTCCTCGGCTCATTCCTTGATGTGCTGATATGGCTTTTATAATGGTCTCTCCGCCGCTGCCCCGTTATCACTGAGTTAAGTTAGAAAAACATCTACTTTCATATCCCATTCTCCTCTCACACTCACCACGGCATTTGTACTTTTCTCATCTTTTTTTTCTTTTCACTTACTTTCATCATCTTTTATTTCCCCCTCCAAACTCTTCGCTCTTATGCGCGCGCGCGTGTGTGAGTGTGTTTATGTGTGCGTGCATGTTGTGTGCACAGAGCCTTGAAAAGTTGGCTCATCCAACCATAAGCTCAAGCGGAGTACATTTTCCTTCTGTTGGAATGAGCGACATTTCTAGATGAAATGGAGCATAACGTTGCTTTCTAACCCAAACTCCTTTCGCCCATGTATTCTTCCTGCATGGCCTCGCAGCACTACCCTTACAGGGGGGGGGGGGAACAGAAACATTTCAGACCATCGCAGGTCTTTAGTGACCGGCGTCATTTCACAGGAGTGCTTGTAGAGAGATTCAGTTTTGTAAACGCTGAGCGCATCAGTGCCATTCTGTCATCAGGGTCTGCCTTTAAGAATTGTTTATTGCACATCACGTTGCCTACATCATTTTGAGATGCCTAGACGCTCTTGTGTTGAAATATTCGAGTCATCAGTCCAATGTGGCTCTCCTGCCATCACCATTTATTTCCCCCCCCGTGACATATCAGAGGACCTCGGAGCCATTAAATTGACAAAAGGTTTTCTCCTCCATTTGTCAGGCAGAGATATGTTTGGGCTTCAATTAGGTAAAGCTATTTCATTTGGAGTGCAGTTTTATTCCCGGGAGACAAGCTGTTGATGAAACACTCTAACATTAGAGACCGCTGTGATGTGGAGGCAGTGACCCACAAACATGACCTGCTGGCTGATGCTAGCCTTGGGAGGGGGGCTTTTTTTCCCCTTATAACATCTGCTCATAGTATCCCCGGCAAACCGCCTAACATTTTGCACCTTAAATTACCTTTATTGGTATTGGACAACCAGATCTAAATGCTTAAATTACTAGCTTCAGCGGCTGTGAGCGCAGGCGACTCTCACATTTAGTTTGCAGACACATAAATGAAAGCAGCATGCTTTTAGTGGCCTTTCTGTCAGGCAGGCATTCAGCGTAATGTCTGTTCAGTGTGTTAATCATTAGCTTTCATCAACATTGTCATTATCAGTGTCACACATGTTTTACTTTGGTTTTTATCTGTTTACGAATAGATTATATGAAATGTATTGTCAAGCCTTTTCAGTGTCAACAAAGGTGTCGTTCATGCTATGAAGTGTCATATCCAAATGCTGCCATTGCTCGGTTTTCAGCATTCATCAAACAGCAGGACTATCATGTGTTTTTTCTCCTCATCATTGCATTAAATATCATGCGTGTAGTTACATTCTGTGACTTCAAGTTTGGAGTGTTAGTTGTTTTGCCAGGAGAGATTTACGATCTGTTTAATGTGGAGTCACAACGTTCTCTCATCTATGGTACAGAACGTGATTCTGGGAACAACACACTCCTTACTCTGTGTGCATCTGGTTCCTATTTCTCCTTCTTTAGAAAACCATATTGTTTGAATCCAAATCAAGCCTTTCATGTCCGATCGTTTGAATCACTGTATGTGGATCATCTCAAGCGTCCCCCAGCTTTGCAGACATTTCAAACGCAAAGCCCATTTCAAATCCATGCGCCTCTCAGCACTGTATATAGGCATATATTTATTTTTTGAAGAAAAAAAAAAAAACAGTGTACGATTTGAGATGACGTGGCGCAAACATAAGACTGATCCTGCATCGCTGAGGGGGGGTAGTGGTATTTATTCTGATTATTTTCTATGCGCTGCACATTAATCCACAAAGATGCCGATACACAGCTCGTGTTATGTTTCACTGTGCATTGGTTTTCCAGGGAAACGTACTCACACTCTTTCTCAAACCGAACTCCTCCCCAGAGTTGAGTTTTAACTCTAAAAGATTGCACACACCAGTGATCTAGAATTGGATTGGGGCAAACAATGTTGGCTCAGCGCGGGCATCAAATTGCAAAGTCCCCAATAAAGACTACGCCAACTGACACATGGAAAATAATAACCAGCTGGGTCCTCTGAAGCAGATGGAAACATTTTCAGATTGTGCTGTAACATCTTCCCCCCCCATGCATTACATTAATGGGTCTGAGGCTGTACACACTGTGTTTAAATTGCCTCTTTCAAAGCCTGCTTTCGGGTCAGATAACATGGCAACAGAGACCTGCTCCATCCCTCAGTTGGCGTGCTGTACAGTATATCGAGTCCGCTGCTCCATCAGAGTGTGACGGATGTGATTTAGGCCACCTGGAAAACCTCTGCATCCGCTTACAAAGCCTCTGTCATCTGATCAGGGGGAACATTATGCAAGTTAACATTGTGTGCGTGGAAACAGAGGGAAGGTTTACCCAAAATGTGCCAGGCAGTTAGTGTTTATAGTGTCGACAGCGTGTGTGCTGGAAACTAGTCTGTTCTTGATTTGTGCCTTTTTATCAACATGTGAGTTCTTGAGATGCCGAGCTCTGTCTGTCCGAGACGCCTCCAGCAGGCGGGCAGCAGCAGCAGGGCCCACAGCCCCGCATTCATACACTGGATGAGTCACAGCTTCCATTCCCTTATTCCAAAACCCTGTTTTCATCTTTGTGTTTGGACACTGTTGCTAAGGCGACAACGTATGACCACTTCCTGTTTGGGATTATTTATCAGAGATTTGGCTGTTATCACTTTACCAATCAGCAGTAAGATCTGTTGATCCGTAAGGACTCAGTCGAGCCCAGCTGTCCCGATGCCTTCTCCTCCCTCCTACCATGTAATTAACAGAAGACTTTTATAGAGGTCACAAATGAAATAGGTAAATGCCAATTTTGTAAGAATGATTTATAAAAAAATAAACTCATATTTGATGATAACTGCATTGCATTGTTCCGTTTTTTTACAGTGTTTTTGAATGTTTGCTGTGAAAATAATTGATATTTTATACTATTGAATTTCACAATAAAGGCCGGTGAAAAGTCATACTTTAGTATTTTGAAACTCATACTATATTGTGCCATTAAAAGTCAGCAAAGAATGGCATAACATGAGTCAGAGTATCTCATAAAACATATTCTTTATAATAGTGAGTAGTACACTATGCAAAAGTTATAGTAACAATATCCATACAAATTATATAGTATACTATGCAATAAAAAAAGACCGTATAGTAAAAGATTATAAGGAAAATATCAGCGTACAGTGTCATAAAGTCATGAAAAATATCCTAGCATAGCATGCCAAAAAACGTTATAATGTAGTATAAGTAAAAAATATTAAAAAGGACTTGTATAGTGTTCCAAAGAGATACAATTTTACAGTTTAACAAACAAAAAAGAATATGTCAAACATAAAGTCACAGCATAGTATTTCATAGAAAAAAGCTTATATGTCATTGAAACTTTACAAAAGAGGTATGTTTTGAAAAGGTTGATAATTATCCGATACAAATGACAAACGCAAAAAACAACAAATGATGGTATGTAAATCATTTCTGAAAGAAGCACATGGTATAGTATGTCAACATATCAGAAAAAAACGATATAGTATATTATGTGGAAAATATCTGATAAAAACGAGTACAGTAAAGAAAAAGTACAGTGTCGAAATATAAGAAAAACAACATAACGTATGTTGAAAATATCCCAAAAATAGACATAATGTAGTATGTCAAAATATCCCAAAAGACGGCATAGTATGGAATGTCAAAAGTAGCAAAAAAATAGACATTGTATATTATGTCCAAAATATGACAAAAAATTGCATTAGTATGTCGAAAATATCACAAAAAGGGTTAAAGTATAGTATGTTTAAAAAATATCACTAAAAATGACATCATGGTATGTCGTACATTTCTGAATAAATGACATTCCTCAGCCTCTGACCTCTGACCCTGACCTCTGACCCTGCTCAGTGAGAACACACTCCACTATTACAGTCATAATGCTGCACGGCCCTCACAGATATTATAACCAGCCCTGTATTAGACCCCTGAGGGGGGGTTTATTAGTCACTACTTTGACCATTGATTTTTCTTTACTCCTCTGAAAGCCCCCTCTCAGCTCCAGTGCTGCATCTGTCCTGCTTTCCCTGAGGACCGTACCCTCAGAACACATCTCAGATGGGACCCCGGGTTTGCTCTGAATTATTAAACGCCTCCATATCAGACATCCATATTCTCATGCATATCTGTGACGGCAGTGACATATGACTGTGTGTGTGACTGTGTGTGTGTGCGTGTGTGCACGTGTACTCAGATTTGAGCTCATGTTGCATGTTTGGATTGAATGATGTCCTTTGGGAATTCTCCGTCTTACCCTTACTCAGTCTGACATTTCCAATCTATAAATGAGGATTTTGTTCAATACCTGCCTTGTCATGTGACCTCATGACTCAAAATGAATGCAGCATCTCTTTACTACACCTCTTTTTATTAGATTTGATTAATATTTCAATTTGATTTGAGTATTGTTCACATGATTATTGTGACATACATTTTTGAAGAAGCCCTAAAATGTAATAAAAATATGTTAGTCCTATTTGTCCAGTGTAGTAATACAATGCTGCATTGGTAATGCAACGTTTTTCATTGAAAACTGCAAAATCTTCATACAAATACTTAATAGTTATCATATTAAATCGAATGAAAAGAGTCATGTCTTATGTGTCCAGTGTAGAAATAATATACGAGTAGGATTGGGGGTCAATAGGTCACATGACATGGAAGCCATTACAAAAATCAAGACATTTAAATAGAAAACTAGATTTTTCAAACAAACATTCAAATACAGTAAGACAGAAGGGTGACTAATATCCAATAAAGGTGGGGTGTCTTATGTGTTCAAGGTAGTTATAGTATTTAGTATGGATATAGAGTTTCATGACATGGAAGCTATTGAAAAAAAACTGTCTTAAAATACATGTTTTAATTCAAATCATGACACACCAGAAATCTAAAAAGGTGTCTCACATAAGATAAACGTTAACTTAGTGTGTTAGGAGTGAGGGATATGCTGGAAGTGTAACATAAATGCATTACAGACTTGATTTAAGGTCATTTTGAAACATTATTTGTCCACCATTGAGTAATGAAAAGCTGGTCTCGTCCGGTACATCGTTATAGAAATAAGAAACTATCTTTTAGCAGTATTCCTAGGAGTGACTTTGAGATGCTGGATGAATACAGACGGGATAAACAACAGATACGCCAGCGAACAAAAATCACAAAACAGCGCTGAGTTTTTAAAAAATCACAGGAAGATTTATAGTTCAGCAGAATCCTTTACAAGGCATGTATTGAAAGTCAAGTCCAATCAGAGAAGAGCATAGATGAGTTTACATATCACATACATTCATATCAAACGAATAAAATCAGATCAATAAAGTCAGAATAAGACTCATTATTTTTGCCATAGTGTTTCTCCTTCTTTTGAAAGTTTTAGGGGCCATATCAAATCATTTTTCTTAATGTAGGGCGCAAAGTTCTAAAACTATGATAAAAGATTAAATAGAATATATCAATGTATTTCTACAGGCATAAACCCTCTACTGAGCTAGTAGCTACAAATAGATAACACATAATATAACAACTCTTCAGATTATCATTTTGTTGATTAAAATACAGGATATTGAGGTAGACAGAATATCTTCTGCCGTCGTCCACACCTTCCTCTCAGTCTTCATGTGTCTCGCTCTAATCTTTCCTTCCATTGTTTCAGGTCTTCTTCAGGAAACGGGTTGATATTGCCAAAGTCCCAATTTCTTCGGTAAAGTGCAGCCTCAGCCAGCATGTGGTACCCTGTTACACATCCAGTCAACGACCAAACCGCTGCACCATTAGGTGTAGTAAATGTATGCCTGTGTGTGTGTTTGTGTGTGTTTTTGTGTGTGTGTGTGTGTGGCTCAGCTCCTGACTGCCAGCATGGAGTTGATCTCCCAGATGAGGTTGCGCAGTTGGTCCATGATCTGCTTCAGCTGCTGGTTCTTCTGTTTCAGCTTCTGTGGATCCAATGACAAAAAAAATACTTATATGAGACGCATAAATCTACATATATGAAAGTCAGAGTGCCTTTTTGTAACCCTAACTAGCGGGTTTACGAAAGATCACAAACACAACAAATACCTTCCACAAACAACAAAGCAATTACAATTCAGCAGAAAACTAATCATTCAAGCCTTACAGGTTATGAATGTTGTACATACTGGTAGTAATACTGGTATTGAAAAGTCCAATGGAGCCAAGTTTAAGCTGCTACACTTTACAAGGTTTTCTCTGACAGCACTACTTTAGCAACAAGCTTATAACACAGCATAAACTTCACACTATTGTACGTCCTTGTAAAATATAATTGACTTCACCATATTAATGAAAAAACAGGTTCCAGATGTAACATCGTTCCTAATGACTGAGGCTGTTGTTGCTGTTAGCATGAGGAAATTAACAGGGAGGTTTTTCCCAGCCGTAAAATCCCATGAGAAACACATTGGATGCTAACATAGCAGGTATGGTGTTAAACACTTTCCACATCCAACAAACATTTTGTATTTATCGTAAAAAGGTACAAGTGAGGCTGATGGGAAGACTATTAGATTGGCAAGTTTGATCGTAAAGCATGTGGTCAAATTCTTGGTAAATATTTGACTTGGCGTGGGATAAAAAGTGAGGGTCTGGAAATCATACATTTCTGGACTCAATTTGATGGCAATCCATTAAATAGTTGTTGACATATTTGGACCAAAGACCAACATTTCCATACCCACAGCTTTCTTGTTAACGTGACAAAAAACGAAATGATATCCAGAGGAGTGAAGTAAATGTACTCAAGTACTGTACTTAATACAATCTTTTTGCTACTTTGTACTTCTACCCCACTACAATTCAGAGGTAAATCGTGTACTTTTACTCCACTACATTTATTTAGTTACTTTAGTTATTTCACATATTTGGATAAATTATGTGAAATATTATCAACACTTAAATCAGACTTTAATTACACCTGGAGTAAATTCACAAGCTACCCTGCAGTATACAAAGTCATTCAAACTAGCTGCACCTTTACCAGCTTTGATAACACTTAATAATTATAATCAAAACATATCATTTGCCCACAACTTTGAGTACTTTTACCTTTTGTACTTTTACGTGAGTAACATTTTGAAAGCAGGACTTTTACTTGTAACAGAGTATTTCTACACTCTGTCATTCTACTTTTAAGTACAAGATCTGAGTACTTCTCCCCCACCTCTGCTAATATATATTACCCATATCTAAACCTTTACATCCTCAGTAGGAATGAATGTGTCTGGGCTGAGTTCCATAGACAAACCACATGAGTAAAAGCAGACAATGTGGGTTTTTCTTTCATGGGATTTATTGACTCATTGAAATAACACCTGCCTTACCCTTTAGAGTTTGTATATGGTGATGATTGATGGACGTTTGAAAGCCACATCAGTGTATGTCTTCGTCCAACATACAATAAACCAAGTTTTCCCACCTGCTCATTGACCTCTCTGCAAATACTGAGTACTTAAGTGCATCAATCCTGGCCTCTGCTAATCGCTAAGCTAACACATCAGGTACATCACAGAGGAGCAAACAAGCCATTCTCCCGTCAGTCACTGAAGGCTTTGTCTGCTGATTGCCTCTGAATGTGCCGCCAAGATCTCTATACCCCTTTCACACCGGCGCTTTTCCAGCTCCTGCTGGGAGCTAGAGCCTGAAAAGCGCCGGTTTTTCCTGTTCACACCGCAGCGGCGGCGCGTCATAGCTCCAGAAAGCGGTTCACTTCCAGCTCCAAAAAATTGTCGGTCCAGAGGCAAGAGCTTCGGAGCTATGACGCGGCGTCGCTTACGTCGAGGCGTGCAGGAAACCTTACTTTGACCATCCGTTCGCTGTTATTGATCATTGTGGAGATACATGGGCTATACAGGTTGTCATGTCCGACTATCAGAAGTAGAATCATAATGAAAAATACGCCGGTAAAATGTGCCTATAGAAAACGGCTTAGCAAGTAGTCAGTTTAGCTTCGGTTGCTATGCTAACATCACCCATGTTATACCAGAGAAACTTTCATAACAGCGTTGTGATGCCAAACAGCGTCAATTCAGACTGACACACATTCACTTAAGGGGAACTGGGGATATGTATCAGCTGCTTGTGTGACAGTCAGACAGTGAATACTTTAGAGCCGTGTGAGCTAACCCGGAGCTAACGGGAGAATAAACTCCCGTGGAAGTGCAGCCACTGCAGCGGTCGGTAAATGCCGCTGAAACACATTAATAAACAATGAACCACGGCACTCTGGAGAAAAGTATAAGGTTGGAGAAGTCGTTATTTAATTTAATCTGGCTTCGTATGATTAAAAGCAACACGACCCGATGCAGTCCCCGGCCCGTTGTTGTTGTGGGAGAAAATCAGCGACGTAAACTGTGACGTCATGACGCAGCAGCGGCAGCTCTCGGCAGTGTGAACAGAGCGGGAGCTGAAAAGGGAAACGGGAGCTGAACCAGAAAAGCTCTCGCGAGGAGCTAGAAAGTGAAAAGCGCCGGTGTGAAAGCCGCAACATGTGTCAACAGCTGCGGTGGACCGAAGTTCCTCGATGCCCGAGCTTTATACATAAACAAATGATGGCTCTGCTGCTGCTGGAGAGTCGGAATAAAAACAGGTAGGACCTGCCAAATGTACGCTGCCTTTGAACAAGTACCTCGGGCAAAACATCTACATCTGAAGGCACATTTAGCAACAGCAGAACATCACAGCTACTGTACTTACTCAGTTGCTTTTTCTTCTGATGGATAGCCAGAGAGAGAGAGAGAGAGGGGGGGGGGGGGGGGGGGAAGCAAAGAGCTAACTCATTCAGGAGCTACTGTATCTGCAGTGCAGTGAAATCTATTAAGATTAAATCTGTCTCACTGTCTCTGTAACACTCCTTTAGCCGTGACTAATTACCCGCCATTTTTGCAGCGCAGATAACACCTTGAGCAATCGATTTCACACAGCTCTCTTAATATCAACTGTTTAGCTGATTGTCCTTGAAGATATTCCAGAGTGGAACATTTTGGAGGCCTTCCAGTCTCTCTCTACTCAACTCTCAGGGGGTCTCGCTGCCTCACAATCTCTCTCACACCCCCCCTTTCCAATCCCTCTTTGACTTTCACTTCAATTCTGTGTGCATGTGTGTGGATGTGTGTGTATTACATGGGATATGCCTCATTACCCTGACGAGCAGTTCTTGAAATAACTCGGTCATTCACTCTTTATTAACGAGATGATACCATGAGCCTTTGTCATTTCAGTCAACGTTTTTTAAACAAAGAATACAACACTTGTTCATTTTTCTTTTTGAATTGAAAACCTTTTTGACATCAGGATTTAAAAAGCTGCAATCATAGAGATATTTTACAAGCGTTTAATGGCTTCAAAGGCCAAATGTACTGCTTCCAGAATCCAGAAGATATTTTTGAGCTTTTCTTTGAAACCACACGTGAAATTCCACATTTTTCACAGTGGAAATAAGAGTATGGAGGCAGCGAAGCCTTCACGGCACATTCATCATAAAAGGCTTGCTGGCATATCTTGATATATGAATAACAAGAGTGCTTTTTTCCACAGAAATTGTTCTGCAACCTCTGGGAGATATATTTCCATTCATAACCTCATAATTAGCCTAACTCTAATCCTTCACACCTATAAGGCGATGTTTGGGAAAAGGGTATACTACTGAGAGCAAAGCAGAGAAAGGGAGTTCTGTAACATTGTTTTTATTCTGTCTGGAGAACAAGGGTTTCACACACAATAACACCTCTTGAGGAATCCAGCGGATGTACTTTTTCATTTCTTGGCACGCCACTCAGTGGCTCGGCCCCACAATAATGTTTTGATGCCTTTTTCAATCCGCTGAAGGCCTCTTCTGACACGCTTTGACACCGAATCGGCCGCGGCAGGGTGGCCAGTCAACAACTCATGAAAGTAAACAAGGAAGCGCTGTCTGAGCCCCTGTCTCTGAAGGCCTCCTGCAGACTGGCAGCCTGCCTTCCTGCTGCACAGAACCTGGAAATGCTGGCAGCCGTCGGAGGACTGGCGGAGGACGGAGGAAAAGCACAGTGACCCGAGAAGGAGTGGAAATGGAGATTGGCACGCACGGAGGAGATGCAGCGATGTGTCAGTGTGTGTCGGAGAATGTTCAGCTGTGCAAGTGTTTATGGTCAGATGTGCTGGTCTGTTTGTGAAGTCGGAAATGTGTGTGTGAGGGTGTGAATGCACAGGGAAATGTGTTTTTATGTCGGCATTGTTCAGTGTTTGGTTTCTATCCATTTCTTATCTATTGGATGCAGTTTTGCAGCAATAATACGCTGAACTGGTGTTGGCCAAGAGAGACCTATTACAATTTGTATTATTGATTCATATTTTGGCAATTTTTACAAACATTATTTAAAAGATAAAATATTGGAAAAATCCTCAAAAAAATAACCTGTATTTAAACAATTAGTTGTGTCAGACCAACCAGATCTTTCTGATCAATTAATCAATTCAGTCCAATTAGTGATGCTACAGCACTTCCTGTAAGTGTGTGACAATAAATACATTATCAAGTGTCAGCATTTACTGTGAAACTGGATGTTATGAGAGTTACATTTACAGTTAGCTCACATTAGCTAAGATTTAGTGTATGTGTTCTGTCTAGATTAGGCCAGTTTCTCAACTTTTGTTTAAAAAACTGCCTTTAAACAGTGCATATTACATGTTTTCTAGGTGGGAACACCTTATGCGTGTGCTCATTCAGAGCGACAGAGAGAAGGTCATGACAGTGTTCAACCGCAGGAAGCTCTCTAACAGCACGTCGGGCAGAGGACAAGTCATGGGGAGATTTGTTTTGAGTGTCTTGTAAGAAGAAGTCACATGGACTCATGAGTAGTTTGTTTATAGGGCTGAGTTTTGGCAAAGAGATTACACATTTTTTGGCTTGGGGTGGTGGGGTTAAAACAAATCCGATTGC